CTGTTAGGAACCGAAGTTCTTTATTTTTTAGTTTCTTACCATTGTTATTCATTACTTTACTAAGAATTTGATATTGAATTTGAAGATGGGCATAAATGTCGATGACACAGTTCCTTGGGTAGTGGCGTCGCCTGACTCTTCAGGTCTTCACTGAAATGAACCGAGAAGGCTGTGTTTTCAATTAAGCAATAATAGTGCCCTTGTTCTAATGAAGCAGAAGTTCACATTTCCCAAGACAGAGTTGAGTAGCTAGAGGCACAATCTTTAATCCTTAAGGAAATGAATTATTGCCAAAGACAATGAAGCAAAGCTGCAATCGTCTTTAAAGTTTAAAGAGAACCCCAGTGTTTAGAGCACTTGATTGTAACTGTTGTACGAAAGTAGGTCGGCTGTTGTTGGGGGGCTTGTGAATACAAGTGGCCGTGCGGCTCACGTGGGCTTTAGAATAGCTTGTTCAAACCATGGTAGTGGGGCCAGAGCCCTTTGCCTGTAATCTCCTGGAGACCTTGACTTACGTCATATTCTGAGATACTGCCATGCTTTTTGACATTGCCTTTCATTATGACAAAGTTTATTTCTTACTGTGGTTTTACATCTTATTTTAAGTTTTTCTTTTAATTTTAGTTAATTCTTATGTGTATGAGTGTTTTGTCTTCCTGTGTAATATGTGTGTGCCTGGTGTCTTTGGATGTTAGAAGAGGGCATTGGGTTCCCTAGAACTGGAGTTATGGATGGTTGTGAGCCACCAGTGTGGGTCCTGGGAACCAAACATGGGTCCTTTTGGAAAAGCAGCCAGTGTGATTAACCACTGAGCCATCTCTTTACTTGAGTCTTGTCTTTCCAAGTTTCCCAGTATGTTGAAATCTTCAGGGAGTTATTTCAACACAGCTTTAGAACTTTGGTAGAAGGTGACCATGGTGGCTCAAATCTAATCCATCCCTGGGAGGGTAAGGGAAGAAGATGGTAGAGGACAATCGTGTCTCAAAACTCTGAAACACCCACCTACCTCCCCTCAAGAAAGGGGGAAAATAGTAAAACCCAGTAGAATTAGCCATCTACGGGTTCTGGGGCAAAGCAGTTTGAAAAGTGACTTCCTAGTGCCAAACTAAACTTGCACCGTGTTTGTAGTCTTTCCTTCTTTGGACCCAATACAGGAATAGACTTCTGGGTGCTGGTCTGTCAGTTTCCACCACTTCCCTCCTCCCTGCAAGGCTGACTCACTTCCCCACTCCCACCCCCCCACCCCATCCCCGACTTCAGCCTGTCTGTCTGAAGGCAGAGCTGTTCCTATAGAGAATCTGAGCAGCGCTGACGCCTGCAGCCCTGGCCCTTGGAGTTGACTTGGTCATTGTGGTGGTGCCCAAAGAGCACTTGGTTCTCTCATTGAACCGTCAGGGCAGCCTGGGGCCCAAGCCCTTACTGGGAGAAATCGGGAGGAAGCCGGGATTAATGCAAAAGCCAGATTTTTTGGCACAGATTGAAAGGCTGATTGGAACCTGCTATCCCTCTGACACCTACAGGCACCTGGCAGCTCAAGAATCAACACGTGCTTAACCCACACTGTGACCTAAAATGACTTAGATTAGCAGTAGACGGTTGTCCCCTGGTGTCTTTGTTTGCATACTGGTCTAGTTTTGCTCGTATATTTGTTCTTCGCGGACCTAGCCTCAGCTAATGAACTGTGACCTTCTACGTTTAAAGTTGATTCCAAGAGGGATTAAGATTCACCTCTTTTGCTAATTTCTGAACCAGGCAGGGCGATTGCGGAAATGAAGCCTCCGCCAGTTGGGGCGACTGTACTCATGAGTTTTGGGGACCCATTGCATGGGAGTAGCGTGCTGCAGCCTTGAAATACGGAGCGACGCAGAGAGCGCCCTCTGCTGACGAGCGCTCCCTCCTGCAGCCTCCCAGTAATCACTGCGGGGTCAGCCCCCCCCCCCCCTCCGGGCCCTCCTTCTCCATCTCTCCCAGGATGCATCCGAAATGGGGCTAGAATGCTTACTGGACCCATGCAGGCAGAGCTTCGTTTCAGGCCGCATTAGCCTCCATAGACATACATCTCTTATTTTGTGGTTTCTCTTCAGATTCGTCTTTAATACCTCCAACAGCTCTGCTCCTTCCTTCTTCCTTCTATGCAGTCCACTTCCTCCTCTGTCCCACGCGTGTCCCCTTCCACGGATGAAGGAGAGAAGGGTTGGAGATAACCGGTGGCTGAAGGCACGGAGCAGCCTCCACAGTGTGTTGTTGTTTCTGTGTGTGTCATATGTGTGTAAGCCTCGTGTGTGCAAGTGCCCATGGAGGCCAGAGACCAGCTTTGGATCCCCTGGAGCTGAAGTTGCAGACGGTTGATTTGGTGCTGGACTCGGAACTCTGGCTCCCCTGGAAGGATAGACAGTGCGCAGCGTGCTAGCCCCTGAGCCATCTCTCCAGCCTCGCTACGGCTTTTCACAGTGCAGGAAACCTTGGAGTTCTCTCCGCTGTCGGAGCCCAGAAAGGCTCAAGAGATGGCTGTCTCCTGAGGTTTTGTAGGACGTCCTGATACTTCTCCCCTGAGCCAGTCTCCTCAGCAGGCCCTTCACCTCCAGCTCCACTCACACCCAGACTGCTCACATCACCCCTACAGCTTCTAGCCTAGCGGCTCTCAACCTGTGGATCGCCACCCCTTTTCCATCCCTTTTTGAGGGGGGCTCCAAGGACCTTTTCACAGGGGTCGCGTATCAGATATCCTGTGCATTAGGCATTTGCATTATGATTCATAACAGTAGCAGCATTACAGTTATGAAGTAGCAGTGAAAATAACTTAACGGGGCGGAGGGGGTCGCCATAACATGAGGAACTGTATTAAAGGGTCGCAGCAATAGGCAGGATGAGAACCACGGGTCCATCTCCTTCCCTGGAAGCAAAGCCAGTCTGCCTGTGCTGTTCTGCCTCCCCTGTCACTTCCTGGTGACACTCCTTCCACAGAGAATTGTCCACTTGTTGCCTCTGCCTCCACGTCCTTTTATGAGCTGCTTACGTTATGGATCAGGCGCTCCCACACCTGAGTGTGAGCAGGAGGTCATCCCTTATGCGCCCTGAATGGAGGCAGAGTTGTTGAAGGAGTCAGCCCTGAACTGAAGAGGAGCAGCGGGGTAAACAGGAAGCAGCCTACCTGCCACACTTAGCAGCCTTCTTGGGTGTGTGTAAGAGGAAGTGGTTAGAGAGGAGGGGAAAACAGTCTAGGTCGGCTGAGCTGCCCTTCAGATCCTCCGCTTGGCGGTTGGTTACCTTTACCCACCGGCTGTGGTTGGGCCTGGGTTCTTTCTCCCCTCAGCCTGTTGAGTATACGGAGCGGGTTTTATTTCAGTGTGCCGTCGGTATGAGTTGGCTCTTTCAGCCCACTTTTAAACTTTTGCGGTGCGGAGCTTTGCCCCTTGGGAAGCATTCTGAAGGATCAGTTTCGTGACTGGCACCTAGCTGTGAAACCCAAAGGGTTCATACTTAACCTCCATTTCCTATCAAATCCGAGAGTGCAGACTCCTAGCTTCATCTGTGCCTGTGGCTCAACTCATTGCTTGCTTCTCCTGCTCCCTAGCATGGGCGCCATCCCATCTGGCAAGCATCTAAACCTGTTCACCACATTCTAAGCCTCTCGTCTCTCAGGTCTTTGTTGGAGCTCCCAGGAGCTGGGACAACATTACTCAGATAGATACGATACGCGGTGGGTCCTTATAGACCCCTGCAGCTTAGCCTTTCCCATACCCCCGATTGATTGAGAAATTCTTAGAACCTGGGACAGTTGCTAAGTCTTTGCTTTTGGTTCTGTGCCTTGGTGTATGCTGTTCTGCCTTTTCGGGTCTAGGATAGACTTGTAGGTAGAAACTGGCAGTGCCAACTGCCTGGGGCTATGGGAGGAAGGGCAGCCGGTTGTCCCCACAGAAGCCACCATTATTCTCCTGGGCGGATGTGATTCCCTTCACTCTGATTGCACCTGCAGCAGTGTATCCGCTAGCGCATTGGCTCCTGTTCTGGGATCCATCCCAGCTAGGAAGAGGTGGGGGGGGGGATGCTTGTTTTGTTCCTTCTGCACCTGGCTCTGCAGGCTTCTTGCGGCCAAGTGTGGCTTGCGCTCTCTTCACGGGGTCTGTTGTTTGTATTGGCTTCTGTTCCCAGCCATGTTTTCCACTCCCAGCCTCATAACCCCAACCTCCAGCCTTTACTTCTCCTCGTGGTCAGGTGTGTGCCCTTTCTCTCTGTCTCTCGCACTGTGTGTTCCTTCGTCAAGCAGACCCCAGAGGTTGTAAACCTGATGTGGGGCCAGCCCCTCCGGGGGTGAAATAGCAGAACTGAGGGTCATGAGGTTGACTTAGGAGCTGCTCCTTGGGAAATCTGGGGTGAGAGGGAAGCTGCCTTTTCATCCCACATCCTGGGTGATAGGGCAGAGCTTGTACTGGGTACCTGTGAGGCGAAACATCAAGTATTGCCCTTTAAGTGAAGGTGGTTTCTGCTTGTCAGTCATATCCTCAATAAGGCTGAGGAAGAAAAATAAGGGACGAGACCGGTTGCAGGAGTCGTTGAGTTAGGCTTCTGATGAGAGTTGGATTCTGAATCTGTAGATCAGCCGCTGCAAAGCCAGGTGTAGTCAGAGGTATCTCAGGGCTCGCGTTGAAAAGCAGCATGTACTTACAGATGCACCAGAATGGCTGCTTCCCACCCAAGTTGAGAGTGTGAATTATTCGGCTGCGGTTCGTGTTCTGTGCTTGTTCCGTGAAGAGTGTCTTCGGACACTGGAATCTCACCCAGCTACCGCAGCCGGTTCTGGGAGAGACAGGCTCGCTCTCCCTTTGTGGATATTGGGTATCATCGTACCTCAGCTGCGAGGCTTTGCTTCCTGTGCTGCAAGAGCGTTTTTTTGTCCCCAGCTCCTCAGCTGCATGGCAGAGAATAACGCTCATAGCTCTGGGGTCTGGCTGAAAGTATAGTATGTGTAAGTCTCTAAATTCTTTCTGTTTTATCTCCAGGCTGCTTGTGGGGGCCCCTCGGGCAGAAGCACTTCCGCTGCAGAGGGCGAACAGAACAGGGGGCCTGTACAGCTGCGACATCACCTCTCGGGGACCTTGCACACGAATTGAGTTTGATAATGACGGTGTGTTCTGCTCTCTCCCTTGTTCATTTGGCCAGCCTACCTGTATGTACCGTGCTGTGCTGGCCAGGAACCACAAGGACAGGAGTCCCGAGAATTTATTCTTACAGAAAGAACCGCTTTTATTTGCCCTGAAAATACTTTCCTAAGCCACACGGAAGTGGGCCAGTTTGCTACCTTTGTTTAATCTGGGATAACTGAAATGGCGTGTTTATGTTGCCACCTAGTGGTATGTTGAGATGGTTGCAAAATTCAGTTCACAGCTGTGAAGAAAATTAAACATGCCTATCATGTATTTAAGCAGTCAAAACATCACCTGCTGTTAAAATATTTAGGGGAAATACTGTTTTTGTCTATTTTTATTTATTGTTAATTTGATTCATGTGTTTATTTTGTTTGTTTTTGTAATGCTAGGGCTCTAACTCGGTGCCTGTGGATCCTAAGTGACCACTCTGCCCCCAGATTGCCTCTCTGGTCCTGAAAAGAATTTAAATATGAGACTACTCCAAAATGAGAACTGACCAGCTTGAATAATATCTTTCCTAAAGACCATGATAGAGTCCATTCAAGATAATTTTCGAAAAACTTTAAGAGCAGCCAGAACCGGAAATGGATATACTTATTAGTCATGTGGTGTGACCGTTTCCCCACATGGGGTGTTGGAAGTGTCACACGTTCTGCCGTTGAGTCCCATACACTGTCGCTGTTCCACGGAAAGGTCTCTGAAACACCAGACTCTTACCCAGCTAAAACCAGTAACTCCGAAAGACAGGGCTATTTCCCTCTTATTTTAATACCCCATTTTAGATGCCTCCGCATAGCGAGAAGATGCCATAATGGAGTCCAGGTGTGTCACCAGCTAATTCACCTGGTTTCCCGTAGATTGAGCAGAGCCATTAGTGTTCCGAGAAGCTTCTGAGAAACCCAATTTGATTATTGGCCTAAGTAGACACGCAGGCTCATGCTTACATTCTTGTCTGTATCCTTTAGGAACAGCGTGCTGGTCTTCCGATTATGAGATATTATGTGTTAATCACAGAAAAGTTAAAAAAAAGCTTAAAAATAGAGATATAGAAATAAAGAAAAGGCAAACTGTTACCGGGAATCTTAGTATCTAGACATTCTCCTGACATTTTGCTTCTTGTTTAGAAAGGCAAAAATAAGGGGTTAGTAGATTGCAGCTGATACTGCAGTGAGCGCATGGTGGTATTTCTGTGTGTTTTCTCCCCCTCTCCCTCTTCCCCCCCCAGAAGAGAATCGTTTGCGCTCCCCCCCTGAATCGGGGGGGGGGGGGGGGCCAGAGAAGAGCCCACTCTCTGCTAGTTTAGATGCCGCTGCTGCGTCAAAGAGCAGCTGTGGGGTTGGCTCCATCTCAGTTACACATTTTTCAAATGTCTTCTTACAGAATCTTTACGAAAGATTCACTCAACTGTTTCTGTTTCCTTGTGATAAGAAATTGATCTGGAGTAACTGAATTTCCTGAGTCGCTAGACTTGGAGCCCAGGCCGTTTGAAAACGGCTTCTTATTGGGTTTTTTGGTTTGGTGTTGTTACTGTGTGGGTTTGGATAGCCGTCCAGTCGTTCAGGCACACTAACTGTCTACATAACCCATGTTACTTCCTGCAGCTGATCCCATGTCAGAAAGCAAGGAAGATCAGTGGATGGGTGTCACCGTCCAGAGTCAGGGTCCAGGAGGCAAAGTGGTGGTGAGTGTGGGAAAGGGCTCCCTCTCGGTGCCGGTTACGGGGCACCCTCCTCGATGCTGGTTATGGGGCACCCATCTGCGTGCCGGTTATGGGGTGCCCTCCTTGGTGCTGGTTATGAGGCGCCCTCCTCGGTGCTGGTTATGAGGCGCCCTCCTCAGTGCTGGTTACGGGATACCCTTCTTGGTGCTGGTTATGGGGCACTCTCCTAGATGCTAGTTATGGGGCACCCTCCTGGGTGCCGGTTACGGGGCGCCCTCCTCGGTGCTGATTATGGGCTTACAGCAGTGAACAAAACACAGAACCCCTGCCCCAGTTTACCTCTGAGAACAAGCCAAACCTTGACTTCTCCCGTGAGGGCTGCTAGACTGTGAGTTGGTCCAGCAACCCGTATGTCTTTAAAACTTCCAGAGCCAAAGAACTTGATAAAGATGTTTTGAATATCCCTGAGACTAGCTGCTCCTCAGACTAAAAGAGCAAAGCCAAGTAGACAGTTTTTGCTCTGAGAACTTTTTGGGTTTTATAGACAAAATTATTGCCAACCGTGAGAATGATCATGAACAGCAACATTGGTTTTTTTTCTCATTCACCCCTACCCTCTTCAGATAGGAGGCAGCTTGTTGGGTAGACTGGCCTGGAAGCGCTTCCGGTTGGAATGTGGTCATCTTTTCTTGCCTTTCTTTCCCAGTCTAGTTGCTATGACAAAGCTTATACAGAAACTTAGGAAAAACGAAAATCTTGATGAACACTGATTCTTACACAGGGACAGTAAGTGAAATGAACTTAGAGGTACTGTCTCCAGACACTAGAGTGGGTTACGTAGGAGGCAGCATGAAGATCCTCTAGAAAACGGAGATTATTGTCTCCCCCTTTAATCCCAGCACTTGGGAGGCAGAGGCAGGCGGATCTCTGTGAGTTCGAAGTCAGCCTGGTCTACAAGAGCTAGTTCCGGGGCAGGCTCCAAAGCTACAGAGAAACCCTGTCTTGAAAAAAACAAACAAATGAAAAGAACCAACTCTTTATTATTACTATTATTATTAATTATTATTATTATTATTATTGCTATATTGCTAGGCGGCCCAGTTTTGCGAAGGTTTAAATAGCAAGGCCTTGCCGTTTGTACCCGTTTGCAGACATGCGCTCATCGCTATGAAAAGAGGCAGCACGTGAACACCAAGCAGGAGTCCAGGGACATCTTCGGGAGGTGCTACGTCCTGAGTCAGAATCTCAAGATTGAGGACGACATGGATGGGGGGGACTGGAGTTTCTGTGACGGCCGACTGAGAGGCCATGAAAAGTTCGGCTCTTGTCAGCAAGGCGTAGCCGCCACTTTCACTAAAGACTTCCATTACATTGTGTTTGGAGCCCCGGGCACTTACAACTGGAAAGGTATGGCACCTGCATTTACAGAAACACATTAAAATGTCAATAAAATCCCTAAAATAAGCCCCATGATTTAGTACATTTTAAGTGGGCTATAAGGTGTTTATAAAAGTGGGTGCAATATTAAAATCTCCACTGTGAATTTTAACAGCAACGCAAATGCTTTAGGATTGATTTTTTTCTCTAAGAATATAGTAATTAATATATATATTTTGCTGTTTTATGTTTGTTACTTGAAAAACTGTTCGTTTTAAGCCAGTGATGTGAACACTGAGTTGGTATAATGGTAAACACAAAGAACTGTGTTGGCATGGGCATCCCATTGTGTATTATCTTAGAAGGTCATGTTATGCTAATAACATGGTAAGCTAAAAGAAAAGATGACTGGCAGATTGGGGTTTTGAGACAAAAAATTAGAGGCAATTTGAGGTAAGGTTGGTTGGCAGTGTTATTGTGTGAAAAGGAGACAGGGAAAGAAGAGGGAAAACGACCCATGTTTCGTGATCAGATGAGTCTGGTCAACTCCTTTAATAAACCTAAGTTTCTCTGAAAAAATTAATGAGGTATATGGCAAACTGCTATATCACAAAGTAACCTAGCTTTAATCCACGATGGAGAGAATTCATGATTGTTTGGAAATAAAACTTTTTGAGAAATAAAAATAAATTATATTTCCATAAGTCAGGAAAAGATGACTACATGGAAGGTTGAGGCTTGAAAATCAAAATTTCAAGGCTAGCTTTGACACTTGATGAAGGGCTTGTCTCAGGAGAAAGCGCGGTGGTGGGGTTGGGGTAGGAGCTGAGGATGGCCCAGTGCTTAGGAGCACATACAGGCACATGTCTTGCAGAGAACATTCCCAGCACACACACTGGGCATCTTCACCTGCAGGGGATCCAGTGAACTCTTCTGAACTCTTGCTGGCACCTTCAGTTGTGTGAGCATGCATGCATGCATGCATGCGCCATGCGCGAGCATGCGTGCATGTGTGTGTGTGAAAAGAATTCTTTTAAAGCAATTAATTTTGAAAAGAGAAGGGATGTAGCCCAGTGATAGCATTTGCGTAGTGTGTGTGTGAGGTGCTGGGCTCAATCCCTTTCCAGTGTCTCTCTCTCACACACACACAAATTCAACTCTTATTGAAAATGGTTCTTGAGAGCCTTCTGTGTAGCATTCCTTGTGACATGGAAGTTATTTCCTTTGTCTCTGTCTCTGGCAGCGTCTTTCATAGAGCCAAACACTTCAGACTATTTTGACCTCATTGAAAGAACATTTTGTATTTAGAAAGAGTTTTATTCTTAGCAACACTGACTTGAAATGACATGTTTTGTTGTTTTGCTTTTTGTTTGTTTGTTTGTTTTCTCCCCAACACAGGGAGAACATTAACAGTCCTGGCTGTCCTGCAACTTGCTCTGTAGACCAGGCTGGCATCATAGAGATCCGCCTGCCTCTGCCTACTGAGTGCTGGGACTCAAGGCAAGCACCACCATCACCCAGTAAAATGTCACTTTTCTTTTTAGTTTTTTGAGACAGGATTTCTCTGTAGTTTTGGAGCCTGTCCTAGAATTAGCTCTGTAGACCAGGCTAGCCTCGAACACACAGAGATTCGCCTGCCTCTGCCTCCCAAGTGCTGGGATTAAAGGTGTGTGCCACCACCGCCTGGCGAAATGTCACTTTTGAAAAGTTATATCGTTATTTGGGTTTTAATAGGACTAAAATATTTTTAGGAGCTATAGAATTTTCAAAAGATGAAATTTTGGTTAAAGCAGCTTGAAGAACAGATGGATATATTAACTTCACTGTGCTTACAGAAAAGGAAACCTGATAGGTTCAAAGAAAACAAAATAATCATTTATTTCAAGTTCATGTCATTCATATTTAGGTTTCTACTGATTTTTGTTGACTAAGCAAACATTCCATGTTCCGTCTAGTTTCCTGGTGCTTTAAAGATAGTTCATAAATGTGTGGGTCATTCCTAGATTCCTAGAGCAAGTCTCTTTCACAGAAGAGCTCGCATGCCCGTGTTGAGCAATCTCAACATCACCTCTTCCATGTCTGTCTCCTCCAATTTCTGTTGTCCTGGTAACGCGAGGGGTGTTTCTTAGGAGCCATCTGTTTTATTTTATTTCATCTTCATTTTTTGTTGTTGTTGTTGTTTTCCATTTCATTCCTTTAGGCATTGTTCGTGTAGAGCAAAAGAATAACACTTTTTTTGACATGAACATCTTTGAAGATGGGCCCTATGAAGTTGGCGGAGAGACTGACCATGATGAAAGTCTCGTGCCTGTTCCTGCTAACAGTTACCTAGGTAGGAGCGAGCAGAGGCCCCATACTGGCCCTCTCAGACTCTGCGCGACTCTCCCTCCGAGGGCCCACAGGCTGAGAGCAGGCCAGGTGGGAGCCAGGGGCCTGGGCGCACGTCCAGCTTGACAGTTTGGTGCTGTGGCAGCTGACTGCCTGCTGGCTGGCTCCTCTGGCCTGAGCTTCCGCAAAGCCAGGGAGAACCTGCCATCACCTGGAAATTATCCCTTTTGCAAAGGGGCTGTGTCTCCTGAGCTGGTGGCAGCCATTGGAACCTGCAGCAGACCCTCCATGAAGCCCTGAGGAAATGTCTGGGTGTTCATTGTCTGCAAAGTGGTCCTTCCTCTCCCTTCAGGGCTTCTTTTAGATGCACACTTAAGAGTTCCACTTGCAAAGTTACTTTTAAGTGGCAGGTCAGGACTTCCAGGTCCTTCCTTGGCGACTGCCACTCTCTAAGGCCTGGCCCTGCGACTGCACCGGGACTCCATGTCAGAGGGCCCAGTGGGTGGCACAGGGCTCCCCAGATGAGGCCAACCAGGACTGCTAACACGGCTTGGAGGACACCCGGATTGTATCTAAGTGCCGGTTCCTTAACTCCCAAGGCTTGTTTGCATTACTAATGGTGTCCTAAATTATTCCTGCACATTATGGTAATTACACAAAGGCTTTTAAAAGCTTTAATTCTTGGTGTGAGTTGACATAAAGAATAATTACTGTACATTTCTTGGAAAAATGTAAAAAATCTTCTAAACCTACATAGTAACCTATTTTTAAAAATGATGTGGGGGCAAAACACGCATGTACTAGAGAGTTATTACCGGAACAATGGAAGGTTAAATAAAAAGGAAAAAAAAGCAGATATAGAATAAGTAAATAATTCTGAATAGTATGCTAGAGTAAACATGCATGTAAGTTATTCTAATTGTGTAAATACACATGAACTGTTTATTAAGAAAAAGCAACCCTTTCCAATTCATGCACCATTCCCACCCCCTGTACAAACTTGATAAGACAGCGTAGAACAGAACATTTATAGCAGCTACTTATTAAACACCTGTCGTGTGTGAGTCAGGTACTCTGTTCAGTGTACTGGTAGAGGTTGTCACTCCTACCTGTGTTTACCAAAGGAGCTTAATTTGCTAGTTCAAGGTCACACCGTTAATAATTCCCCAACCAAGAGAGAAATATTCATGGAAGTGATAGGTCTGGACAGCAACTGGGTGCATGAGGTTTGTTCGTGGCCTTGCAGGACAAGAAAGGATTTCCATGCAAGGAAAATAGCAACAAACCAATATTTTCCTTGGGCATATATTAACCAGCAGCTTCTGTTTTTCACATGTGCTATTTAGGGATTATTTTATGATGGGTTGTGCTTCATTGCTCTGGCGAATACACCCATAGTTTGATCTTTCAGATGCCCTTGGGGTTTATAAACACAGCCACTGGTAGAGCACAGGGAGATGGGAAGGGCTTTGTTTGTTTCTTCAAACACCTTTACCTCTTTCAGAATGGGTTTCCCTAAAAGTAGATGTCTGAGAAAGAAGCCAAGTGTGTGCTGTTATATTTTGCTGATGGGTGCTGTGAGGGTCTCATTTTAAAAGATCAGTGGGCATGGAGAGTCTAAAACGATATGCCTATGAAAGCTAGCGAGGAGCGCGGCCCTGCCTCTTACTAAGCGTAACTGTTTTTCTCCAATCTCTCCTGTCCCGTGCATGTGTACAGGCCTGCTGTTTTTGACCAGCATTTCCTATACAGATCCTGATCAGTTTGTTTATAAAACACGGCCTCCCAGGGAGCGGCCTGACACATCCCCTGATGTGAGGATGAATAGCTACCTAGGTTTGTGACCTCTGAGATGACAAATAAATTGCCTTGGTCATGGTCATTTAAAAAAATTTTTTTTTGATTCATACAGAGCATAAATCTATTTCATTTCAAATAAAACACATACAAAAAGCATGCCGTGGTCGAGCTCAGCTGCCAGGTGGTTTTCAGCACTGGGCTCAATTATATTGCCTTGCTCTAAACTTGAGGGCCTCATCATGTTTTCAATTCACCTCACAATTTGAGAACTGCAACAGTAGTGGTGACGCTTTTTAGAAATAAAACCCAATAAAAGGGGTGACTTTATGGTCTCTGCCTTTGCCACGTTTATATATATATGGAGAGAGGCTGACTAATTTGAGGAGTTTTGGCAATGGGTAATTCTGTTTGCTTTTCTAGCAAATCACAGTGTTTATAAGCTGCTTCATGCGTGACAATTGGACATTCCAATGTTGCCTACCCTTTGGACAGTATGTAACTGATCCAAGTGATACCTGACTCACCTCTATTGTTGATGTGAGATTCTCAAATAACTGTGAATCACCATGCATGGATTTTCTTTTTCTTTTTCCTTTTCTTTTTTTTGCATGCGTGTGTCTGAGAACTGAGTTGATCCAAAATAATTAGATGCTCCCCAGGGCGTGGTAGCAGTATTAATATTTCTTCTTACCTGATTGCCAATAGACTGGCAAGGGGAGGTGCTCTTCATGTAAACTGCAGTCAGCGCAGACCCCTGTAACTTGCACTCAGTAATGAGTGTATACGGCATCCCCAGGTGACTTCGGGGTCTAGCTCGCTCTTCCTTGGCCAAAGTTTGAATGCTTCTCCATAGTTCCAGCTATCCAAATACTAAATAGCATAAAATTGTTCTTTAAAAGTCCAGATATCCATAGAAAGCAGTAAAATAGCTGTGAGTTTGTTCTTCTGTCTTTCCATTAGCGCTCTGACTCCTGTGGTAAACGTGCAAGTAGACGGGAGGGCCAGGAGGCGAGGGGTTGGGTTGTCCCCCCAGTACAGGATCGATGTGCGAGACTATGTTTTGTTTTCCTAGGCTTTTCATTGGACTCAGGGAAGGGTATTGTGTCTAAAGATGACATCACTTTTGTGTCTGGTGCTCCACGAGCCAATCACAGCGGAGCTGTAGTCTTGCTCAAAAGAGACATGAAGTCCGCGCATCTTCTCCCCGAGTATATATTCGACGGAGAAGGCCTGGCTTCTTCATTTGGCTATGATGTGGCGGTGGTGGACCTCAACGCAGATGGGTAAGCGAGTCTTTGGTTATCATATGCGGCTCATGTTGCTGCTGACTGGCTTCTGTAGGTCTAGAGAAACACTCACTACAGGTTGGTTGATTCAGAAGCTTACCGTCCGGTCACGTCTTCATCACAGCCGACGTTCATTATCCTCTCTGTGGCACTAGATTACCTTTTAGATGTTATGTTTTTCCCTTGTGTTTGGGCATCACTGTTTCTTGAGAATTTAAATTTGAAAAACAAAACCATTCAGAAAGTAGCGTTAGCTACATGACTGTTGTGTGGTGTTGAGTGTGGGGGCTATTGGAGCCTCCAGAATGTCTGACAGAAAATAGGAAGCGGTGACCGCATCAGTGCATAGAGGACTCAGACCTCTTGGTGCCAGCCGGAAATAGTGCTGGAATAGCAGACCCTTGCTGGTGGTCCTCTTGGGCTGTGGCTCTGACTCTAGAAACTGCCTTTGAATTGCTACCCTCACTATTTTCCTTGGCTTATTAGGGATCTTCTGTTAAGTATTTTAATTGACGAGATGCAAATTCTTGATTTGAGGCCCTTTGTATTGTGCTGGTGGTCATTTCCCTCAGCCCTGGCATTTTCGGCAGTGGTTCCCACCTCTTTCCTTCATTATGTTTGTAGGTGGCAAGATATAGTTATCGGAGCCCCCCAGTATTTTGACAGGGATGGTGAAGTTGGGGGTGCAGTGTATGTCTACATTAACCAGCAAGGCAGATGGAATAACGTGAAGCCAATTCGTCTTAATGGGACTAAAGATTCTATGTTTGGAATTTCGGTCAAAAATATCGGAGACATTAATCAAGATGGCTTTCCAGGTGGGTAGGAGCTCGTGACTGACGTGGTTATTACTGTCATAGATCAACTATGGTAGGGGTAGACTAATGAGTGTTTGTGGCATCTTTGAGACACTGGAGTTTTTAAATGATTTTTTTTTGTTTTTAAATGTGATGTCAACAGATATTGCTGTTGGAGCTCCCTATGATGATCTGGGGAAGGTTTTTATCTATCACGGATCCCCAAGTGGCATAAATACCAAGCCAACACAGGTAAGCAGATCCCTCGCTATGATACTCTCAGTTTTTTGCCTAGTAGTGTACTATGTAGGTTTAAGTACATTTTCACGTGTATTTCAGTTCCAAGTATACAATAGTATGAACTTTTAATAATTTAATTATTTTTATTTTATATGCATTCGTATTTTGCCTGCATGTATGTCTGTGTGAGGGCATCAGATCCCCTGGAACGGAAGTTACAGACAGCTGTGAGCCACCATGTAGGTGCTGGAAATTGAACCTGGGTCCTCTGAAAGAGCAGCCAGTGCTCTTAACCTCTGAGCCATCTCTCCAGCCCTGTCCAATAGTATGAATTTTAAAACATTTACTTTTAATTATATATGTTTGTAAAATGTGTGTGTGCGTGTGTGTGCGTGCACGCACGCACATGCACAGGTGACCAAGAATGCTTCAGGAAGCTAAAGGTGTCAGATCCCCTGGAACTAGAGTTACAGTAGACGTTTGAAGTGGGTGCTGGGAATGGTACTAGGGTCCTCTGGGAGAGCGGTTTGTGCTCTTAGCCACTGAACCAAATCTCTCAAGCCCAGTGAATTGCAGAGTATCACGGGAAGATGCCTTTGGCACACTCACACAGATGCAGGGACCTGCTTGTTTCAACTGTAGAATATCTTAGCTGGGAAATCAGTGTAAGCCAGAGCAAAGTGGACTCTTCTAAGCTGGGAGTGGGAGGGGGCGGCCTGCTCCGCTTCCCTCAGCGGCGTACTTACTACAATTGGAACTGGGCAAACAAAGTAGAAGATCATAATTACCCGGAGAATTGGGACCCCAAAAGTTATGACTGGTTTTGAAAATAAGACTTTTTGGTGGGCAGTTAGATTTGGTTTTAAGCTACACTGATTAATTTAATAAACAAAATAAGCTTTTATCCTTTGGGATATTGTGTGACTCGGATGGCTTTTAAAAATTGTATGAAGTAATAGATACTATACATTTATAATATATTATAATTTTTATAAGAACTGAAATTTTGACTCAGAATAAGCTTTTCTTTGTTTTATTTTCCTTTCCTCTGCTTGGGATCCAGGGCTCTCACTCACCGTCTTGTCCATGCTGGGGAAGGGTTCTCTACTGAGCTTCATTCCTAACCCAAAGTGCAGATGGCCAGCTCACTTAGTTGGCCCCGTGTTTACGCTAAGGCCCTGTGTGTTTCAGGTTCTTGAAGGTACCTCACCTTACTTTGGCTATTCGATCGCCGGAAACATGGACCTCGATAGGAATTCCTACCCTGATGTTGCTGTCGGTTCCCTCTCAGACTCCGTAACGATTTTCAGGTGTGTTGCTGTCTTTGACTTCTGTTAAGCAAGCTCCAAAATGATCTTACACTAATGTTGTGACTTCTTGAGGCGAAGGGTTTGTTTGAATTTGAAGACTTTTCTTTTGATGGGTTATATGATAAAGATTGTGTAATCTTGCTAATGTTCAACTAATTTGGAGTAAAAATGTGTCAGAATTAATGGAAGGTTTTGTCTCTTTAACGCCTTTGTGAGAGACTTGGGGAGATGACGAAGGGCTTCATGGCGCTTGCCCAGCAGAACCAGCCATGTGTGGTGATCTCCTGCAATCCCAGTCCAGGAAGGAATCCCGGAGCCAGCTAGCTAGTGAGACTACCTATCAGTAGCTCTGGGTTTTGTCAAAGACCCTGCCTCAGTGAATGAGGTGGAAGAGAGATCAGGGACTCTCGGGAGTCACTCAGAGTCAGCCGTGGTCCTCCACATGCACAAACACCAGCACACGCACACATCATCCGCGCACACACGTGAGAAGAAGCAAAATGGTTTTTTTAAAAACAACCTTCCTTTAGATGAAAAAGCAAAACACCTAAAGAAGAAAATCTCTTGTTATTTACCATGTTTCCCCCCTTTTGTTTCAGTTGGTTTTACCTTCTACTCTTTAGCTCTGAAAGATGAATTTTTATCTACGTCCCATGTTCATACATAAATACTTCCTAATGCCCAGAGTGTTTGTAACGTGCTTTGGTCCGTGTGTGGTCTCAGGAGACTTGTGCCTGCCACTCAGTACTTAGCTGTGGCTAAAAGGGTTGGAGTTTTATCTACCCTATTGTCGGTAGTTTTAAGTGCTTCTGTCCCTCCAACCCATGGTACAGAAAGCAGTGGTAAGCACCATTGTATGGGTTGTTATTCCCTGACAGGAAGTTTCTGCAGCGTGTCCTCCTGGTGTGTGCCCCACACCAGCTCCGTACACGGAATCTCTGAAAGTGGAGTTACTGTGTGCACCTGAAGACTTGATTCAGGTTCATGGAGAGACCGCCTCACACGCACGCACGCACGCGCAGAAGGGGCAGGGGGAGCTTGGGGTCTCCTTTCCCCGTGTCTCTAACACTGCTGGCGGTCATTGTTTTAGAAAATTTGATTTTCAAATAAAAGATTCTTGGGGTTTTGTTGCTATTGTTCTTACTGATAATGGTTAATTCCTTTGTAGAAAATCAGGTTCCTAAATATTCTCCAAATATCCCGATCTCCCTCAGAATAGCTTAACGGGTTTGAGTTTTAGGATCAGTAAAAGACCACAGGCATTGCCTGATCTGGTTTGTAAAAATTTTATGTCTATTCAGGCATGATGGTTCATGCCTGTAACCTCAGGACTTGGGAGGTTGATTCCAGGCCAACTAGGGATACAAGTTTTTAAAATAATATATAAAAATTAGGCCTGCTAGCTGACTCAGTGGGTCAAGGCAGTTGCCACCAAGTCTGGCAACCTGAGGTCCGTCCCTGGGTAGGAGAGAATCAAACCCATTAATTGTCCTCTGGTTTCTACATACGTGCCACTTAATATGTATTAAGTATGACTCAATAATAGCCTGTTATGAACATGCTGAATTAATCCTTAAAATTGATGGGAAATGTAGATCATATCTTAAAAACAGTGTAATAGGGAGCATTTTGTACATCCCTATATGATATTTTTAAAATAAAAAAGTTTATAAGGTACAGGCTAGCAAACATTTGCATTAACACATATATTTTCAGAAGTTCATATTACTTTATATTCATTGAAAGATTATTTTCTCATAGGCTTACCTGTATTAAATAGACAAATCTAATTTTTAGTAGATAAGTAATCTTACCTTTTTATTTAATATACTTTTTTTTTAAAAAAACAAACCATTTGAAAGCCAGGTGTGGTGGCTCAAACTTTTTAATTTCAGCACTCAGGAGGCAGAGGCAGGCAGATCTTTGTGAGTTTGAAGTCAGCCTGGTATACATAATGAATTCCAGAACAGTCAGGCCTACGTCGAAAGACCCTATCTCAAAAAAGCTTTAAAAGAGAAAGACAATGAGCTATCTGGTTGATCGGTTTGGGGTTTTGTTGGTTGGTTTTTATTTGTTTCGTTTCTGAGACAGGGCCTTGCTCTGTAACCCAGCCTGGCCTGACACTCAGAAGTCCTTCTGAGACGTCGTCCAAGGTGCTGGGATTATGGCGGTGTGCCAACACACCTATTTGGGTTTTGTCTTGGGTTTTGTTTCCTTCTGTCTTTTAAATTATTTGGCTTTAGAGTCATTTTTATTTCTTAAAATGGCCCATAAGGTGCAGTGAAACTGTATGCTAGGTCCTGCCATCGCCCTAGACCTTCAGAAGAGAGGCAGGGTAGAGACAGCCTCTATATTTGACCTTCAGAAGAGAGGCCCCTGTAGAGACGGCCTTTATATCTGACCTTCAGTTGTCCTTCAGAGCCCCTGGGAGAGAAACCCTGCGCAGGAGACTCTCACTGTTGTGCTCACATATGCTGCCCAGGCTGGTCTTGAACTCCTTCACTCCAACAATCCTCTGCCCTGGGCCTCCCAGCCCCTTTGCGTAGAGGTGCTCGCCATTTACCTGGCTCCCAGGACACTTTTGAAGAGATGCTTTGATATAGTGAAAGCAAAATCATTTTCTGGTACAAAGGCTAGATCTTGGAAAGCTGTCAGAGATAGCGAAGTAAGTGGAGAAGAGTGCCCGAGAGGAGCTGTTGATGCGGCCGAAGGAGGAAACTTACATCAAGTTAAGTTTACCAGATAATTGAGCATGTGGCAAGAGCTCAGGGACTGGTGTCCCGTGAGTGCTGGTTCATGCTTTTGGCTGCATGACGTCCATTGCCTTCTGAGCCACCGCAGTGGGCCGCTGTGAGGCTCAGTGACCCTCCCTGGTGGCACAGTCGGAGAGTTTTCGACAAACACCGCCTTTGTGTATGTTTCACTCCTTGGTGTTGAAAGTGGTTGACCATCTGTAAGGCTACAAGTGTTCATTCAGCAAGCTTTCCATTGAAAGGGAACTGGGGGTCTAGTTTGAGACACAGCCCTCGAGTATCAAGAAAGCTTGACTGTCCCTACTAAAATATCCGAAATTTTGTCTTTTAAATAAGTGAGTGCTATTTTAATGCCTTGACTTTTCTGTTCTAAGTATGGCTTTAGATTTCACAATCTTGGTAACAAGAAAACCAACTCAGCATTATTTTACAAATGAGGAAAGTGAGGCCTGAACCCCAATTGTGCTGTTAAGGCTAGGTCCCGAGTCCTAGGTTTCCCCGAGTCTTGAGAGAAGTCCTTCAGAGAAGCTAGTAAAAGACCAATTTAACCATGAGGCAGATAAGCCAGTAAGTACTGCCTTGTGCGTGGGAAGACATTTTCCACCCTGCTCAATACTGTGTCCCTGTGTGTGTTATCTGCCGAAAAATGGAAATTCAAGCAAACACACAGCCAAGGGTGTTCAAATATTGTGAAATCAATGTATTAACAAATTAATACTACAATATGTAAAGCCCCATATGGCAACTTATTTTAAAATACATAAATAAGTACAATAAGTAAAAAGACACAAATTTTTACCTCAAGTTAAAAATGTGTCTACTTAGTGTCCTAGAAATCCGCAGCTGTCTAAATATACCTTAGAAACAGGACGATAAAATCGGTAAGGAAAGTGGAAAAGTGGGGGGTGTGGGGATATTTGCCCTGATACTGGTGGCCTACCTTCCCCATGGAGGGGCTTGTATTCTCGCCAACGACTAGTCGATTGATTCCAGAAGGCTGAGGTTTGGAAGACAGTTTCCTATTAAAAGCATGTTCTTCAAGATGTCAGTATTTACCATAAGCTCATCAAAGTACTGACTGGATTCTCATGCTCGTGAAACTCTATACCCACTCTCGGTTCTGGAGGGGAGCAGTAGGGGTGAGAGGTGAGCCAGAATCACCCCACCGTGCCTCCCCGCCCCCAGCACATAGGCGCCATACACTGGTGTTCTTGTGGCTATGACAGGCTCAGGCCAAAGGCCTCTGGTGTCTTCTTTGTCTGCCCCAGAGCCAGGGAACACATAAGGGAAGAAAAAATGTTTTCATGTAATGAGCAGAGCCAAAGGGTAGGACTTAGAATTTTTTTCTTTCTTTCTTTCTTTCTTTCTTTCTTTCTTTCTTTCTTTCTTTCTTTCTTTCTTCCTTTCTGCTATTTATTTATTTATTTATGTGGGCTTGGAGCACAGCATCTGGGGAATGGTTAAGGATTCAAGTTTACAGAGATACTGTAGGGGAAAAATGCTTACTTTATTAAAGACATGTATAGAACAGACCAACCTTGAACTTACAGCAACCTTCCTGCCTCTGCTTCCTGAACGCAGTGCTTTGAAGGCACACGTTCTTAGACTCTGAAGCTCTGCTGCTGGGGATTTATCCATAAGAAAGTCAGCTGTCAGTGTAGATTTCTGTGTGGTGTTGTCACCATGGCTGCTGGTGAAAGGAGGAGGAGCCCCCCGGATGTTAAGGAATGAGACATACCTCCCCGGAGAACAGTTGATATAAAAATCTACTGTTTAGTAGAAACTGTATTTTTATGTTTGACAGTAGATATTTGTAACAGAGACAAACAGATACCATGTCTGAAGAGAACGTACAAGATTACTTGGCTATGAGTATTTTGTAATGGAGAAAGTTTTTGCTTGAAGATATTGCATGCATTAAGTCTATTTTTTGGTTTTTGGTTTTTGGGTTTTTTTTTTGTTTGTTTGTTTGTTTGTTTGTTTGTTTGAGGCAGGGTTTCTCTGTGTAGCCCTGACTGTCCTGGAGCTTTGTAGACCAGGTTGGCCTCGAACTCACAGATAGATATCAGCTTGCCTCTGCCTTCCGAGTGCTGGGATTAAAGGTGTGTGCCATCACTGCCCGGCAAGTCCGTTGGGTTTTAATATAGTACAGTTTTAAATATTGTGTAATTTAAGCGGCGTTACGTTTCTATCCATTAGTTGTGTGCTTTGTTCACACAGTGGAGGAAGAAGTTGTAGCTCCACACATTCCTTTTCCCGTGTTTAAAAAGCAGCTTTGGGCTCCTGCTAACACTGCCTACTGTGTGAATGACCTCAATGCTCAAGATAGCAAAAGGCTTAGGTTCTCCATTCCTTTTGTCCTCAGATCCCGGCCAGTGATTAACATTCTGAAGACTGTCACAGTGACCCCTAACAGAATTGACCTGCGCCAGAAGTCCATGTGCGGGTCACCTAGTGGGATATGGTGAGTTGGCTTTGTGATTCTGGGGGCAGTCTTGGTTCTCAGCTTTGTGATGACCCACTTTACCTGATGGGCCACAGGGAAGGCTAAGGGCAGGCTGGACAAAGGGACCCTGTTAATTACTCATCAGTGGGCAGTGGGGTCCTTGAAGGGCTGGGGGACAGGGTGGGAGTTTCCCACCTCCCCCACCCCCGAGACAATGCATCTTTTAAGAAATTTGTGTTTGATTTTTATGCAGCCTCAAGGTTAAAGCCTGTTTCGAATATACTGCGAAACCCTCTGGTTATAATCCTTCAATATGTAAGTGCCTCCCTCGTACTTTTAAAAAACAAAGTTTTCTCTCTGCCAGGTTGAAAGTTTTGCATAAATAACAGGAAAACAAAACCGCAGTGTGGCCAGAGTGAGCTCGTAAATTCTTGTCTAGAGGACGAAGTTTATCCGTGGTCTCCCCTTTAATCAGGAGGGCACACTTGGCTCCGCTGGGATTTTCCAGAGCAGATGGTTTGGGACAGGAAGACTTGGAAAAACACTTATCTCCTGTCACAACGGCTTCTTCCCGTTCCGTCTTTGAAAAGCACTGTGGAAAATTGCTTGTGCAGTTCCGAGGTGGTGGGTGGCGGTTGTGGAAGAGACAGCGCTGGGAGCCCGTGCACAGCTGCAGCTGGCACGCTCGCTCGCCAGGTTAACTAGCCTCACTATCCCCCCCACGCCCCCACCCCCACAGAGGCTCTGGCCCCTTCCCCCAAGCCATGCTCCCAGGTACCACCTGAAGGCTCACCCCAGGGCAGACACCTAGCTGCTGCTCCTGGCTTCAGCACAGCTCTGGTTGACAAGCGGCAAAGGACAAGCCCTTGCCCTTTAAGTTTGCAGTTCCTGTCTGTTCAAACAATGCCTCTAAGTCATTGTCTAGGGTTGTGACGCTGATCGATGACAAAACCAGATGAAGGGCACTTTGCCTTTTAAATTGTTCTACTTCCTTTCTCTGGTACCCAAAGCAGGATTTCCGTGTGGTGTGTGTGTGTGTGTGTGTACATACTTAACTTGTTAAAATGAGTATGTGTGCATGTGTATAAGTCTCTATGTGTATGTGTGTGGTGTCCAGAAGTCAGCTGCATACATTCTTCTGGGTTGCCCGCTGTCCTTTGAGATAGGTCTCTTGTTGAAAATGAAGCTTGTTGCTTTGGCAAAGCTGGCTGGCCGGTGAGCCCCAGGGCGAGGGTTATTAGCACCGTGCTTTCTTGGCTTTTCATGTGGATTCTTGGGATCCAAACTCCTGTCCTCAAGATTGTACAGCTGATGCTTTATGGATTGACTGAGCCATTTCTTCATGTCTCTACCTCTGGGATGGCAGGCGTGTCACCACGCCTGGCTTGACTTTTCAAATCAGTAACCTGGAGGTGGAACTGGTCCCCATTCTCCTGTTTGCACGGCACTTTACAAACATTTACCCAACCCCTTGTTGCATGTCTTTTATTTGTTGTTGTTTGTTTCTGTTTTTTGTTTTTGGTGGTTTTTTTTTTTTTTGAAATATGTTTTCTCTGTGTAACCCTGGCTAGCTGGCAACCCAGGTGGCCTCGAACTCACAGAGCTCCACCTGCCTCTACCTTCCGGAGACCTAGGAAGACCATGCGCCCCCACCATAGCTGTTGCATGGTTTTTAATGAAAAGAAAGCACACACCGTCCTCACTTGGACGCCAGGCCTTTTATCTGTATTTGTAATGACTTCGAGAAATGAGAGTAGACTGGATTCTTGAGCCTGGAGAAGAAATGCGAAGATGTTTGGCCCTGTCTGAATTGTTTAAGGTAGATGTCAGGAAGGCTTGCTCCTTCCACCTGCTGCCTGAGTCGAGAGAATGCGCCGTGCATCTCCTTTGTAGTTTGTGCCTCCTCCGTCACCTAAGTGTTTCTTGATGGCCTCTGATGGGGGGGACCCCCTCACCTAGAAGAAATCTTTCATTGTTCATTCCTCCGCAGTACCCGGAACTTTAAAATGAGATAAAACTATTTCCACAAACCTGCCGAAGTTAATACGTTCAGACTCATCTCCCAGGATCCCACAAGTGAGCTGGCTGTGGGGCCAGGCTGTTTTAACCCAGCAGTCCTCACTTGCGGTGTTACGTACACACGGTATTTATAATTGGGCCTTAATGAGTCTTCTTGGCTTGCCCCTCCGAAGGTCAGCAGAGGTGACCTGTGAGGATTTTAAGATGATGTGAGTTGTCTGGAGGGTTACAGGAGGTTAGCGTGGGTTTGGTAGATAAACGGTTTTAATGTACCCACACCCTCCTGTACATCTGCCACGAGGGGCACTCAGCATGGCAGCCTTCCTCTGCTCCGTTGCGAAGCTAGCAGGTCACTGATAAATGGAAGATGTCAAAGCTGCAGAAGGCCAGCAGTGAGCATTCCATTTGGCAGCTATGACATTTAACAATATTTCAGATGGACAGAGAAATTGCTATTGAAACTGTGGGTGCTCCTAAGTTCTGGTCTCGTGTCTCTGTATAATGACCATTTCCCTGTGAAAGTTGCATCACACCATGTACACGTGCACACACGTCATGCCGTGCATACAGCAGCATGGAGTTGGTTACCCGTTCCATTCATCCATCCTGCCGAATGTATGTCTATCAAATGTTGTGGTAGTTGCTAGGGATACAGTGGTGAAGGAGGGGGATGCAGTCTTTGTCCTTACTTCCTCTCTACCCTGTGGAAGACAGGCAGTCCCAGTGCAGTGGCCTCCAAGTGGCTCAGGAGGAGCTAGGACAGGCTTTCTGGAGAAAATGATGTTTGGGTCAGGCTCTGAAGAGGGAATAAGAGGGTCAGAGCCGGGGAAGAGAGAGGAGAAGAACGGAACCAGTGCTGAGGGTGGGGGCAGTGAGACTTGTCTTTTAAGCCATTGTATAAAGCCCAGCTCTTGTGTTGTACTTAGAGTCTTAGGACTGAATACCTCTGTCCCTTGCTGTATGGTTCTGAACCTCCTTTATTTACAAAGAGAACATTGAAACAAACATCTCATGGCTAGGGGTGTAGGTAGCTCAGTTAGTACAGTGCTTGCCGAGTATGCACAGAGTCCTGGTCCAGTCCCAGCGCTGTGTCATCATAAAGTGCTGGTCCGATGATAGCACCATATAGAACCAGGCGTGGTAGTGCATGCCTGTAATCTTAGCACTCGGGGAGTGGAGGCAGGGGGATCCATTCCGGTCATCTCTACTTCATAGCCAGGTCATCTCTACTTCATAGCCAGTTCCCGTCAACCCGGGCTACATGTAATCTGTCTCAAACAAGCCACAAACTCTCAGAAGGAATTCTTTCACAGTCACTTGAATAGTAGAATGTGAGTTGCTCATTTTCTGCGTTTTCTGGAGCAGGTTTTCCCCCCGTAGGCTGTTTTCTCTGACCCTCTGTACATGCTCCCGTGTTTGCTTTCCTCTGATGATCTCAGAGCCTGCTTGATGAATGTCAGTAATTTAAGAATTGGCCCATGAAAAGCATAGTTAGCAGCCTCATCCAGTGACCCAATGAGGAATGCATTCCCGAGTCCAGAAGTGAGCTTCTGATGGTCCAGGTCCTGGCCGGCCTCCAAGCCTCATTAACAGAGATAGTCAGCAGCAAGCCACCATTGCTGCAGGCTGGAAACTTCCGAATAAAAGCTGCTAGTGAGGCTGGCAAACTGACTTCCAAATTTATCTGTCTGTCTGTCTGTCCGTCCGTCAGTCCATCCATCCGTCCGTCCATGCATCTGTCCATCCGTCCATCCACCTGATGTTTCTGGCAGACTCACTGTAGTGGAAGCTAGCCCTGAATTCATGTCAGCCCTTCTTCCCTCTGTTCCCGAATGCTAGGGCTACAAATCTCTCTTCTCCTACTCTACCTTTGTAGCCCATGCTTATTGTGTAGCCTTTGCTTATCCACTGCTGAGACTGCTTCCCCAGACACCTTTTTAAATAACAAAGACCCTAGGTCATGAAGCACTGGCTGAAAGAGGCCCAAGGAGGCAAGACCTTTGGGTATTTCCGGCTATCTTTAGTATTCTGTGAGTTCCTGAAATTCAGCCAGAAGCTGATTGATTCCCAGCTGCTGTGGAAGGTTCTAGCTTGTTGTCGAGCTCCCCCAGGTGGCCCAGTGAAAATTTAACTTAAAATAGTAACAGCAGTGGGAAGAACAATTGGATTTAAAACTTCATAGTTCACCAGAAGGTCCCCTACTGGAAGTAATAGAGATGCAAAGGCAAAAGGGGCCAAATGCTGTTGTGTGGACTTTAAAATCCTGAGAAGAACTCATCCTATTTGTAGTTCAGGGGGTGCTTAGACGCACTTTTTAAGTTAACGCAAGTTTGTTCATTTCAACCTAGCAATTTTGGGTATACTTGAAGCTGAAAAAGAAAGAAGAAAGTCTGGGTTGTCGTCACGAGTTCAGTTTCGGAACCAAGGTTCTGAGCCAAAGTATACTCAGGAGCTAACCCTGAACAGGCAGAAGCAGCGGGCGTGCATGGAGGAGACCCTCTGGCTGCAGGTGAGCAAGTGCGCGGCCTCTCTCGAAGAGGGTGGAACTTGGGCGTTACTCACGACGCTTTGGCCACACTCACCTGCGTCACTTCTCACCTTGCAGGAAAACATCAGAGACAAGCTGCGCCCCATCCCCATCACAGCTTCTGTGGAGATCCAGGAGCCCAGCTCTCGCCGGCGGGTCAATTCACTTCCCGAAGTTCTTCCCATTTTGAATTCAAATGAAGCCAAGACCGTCCAGACAGATGTGAGCCTTCCTGGCTTCTGGTTTACCAGTATTTACTATATCTTAATGCAGAACCAAGTGTCTCTGAAGGCAATAGAAACAGGGATTTGTTTTACAGGCCACTTACTTATGGCCAGGTGTGGTGGCCATGTCTTTAATTCCAGCACCCAGGAGGCAGAGGCAGGAGGATCTCTGTGAGATCAAGGCCAGCCTGGTCTACACAGCAAGTTCCAGGCCAACCAGGGTTCATGATGAGACCCTATCTAGGAAAAAAAACAAGCTAAGCTAACAAACAAAAATACTACTTATTTCTGCATCCATCATTGACCTATGAATGGAATTTGGGGGTCAAGAAGTATTTGAGTTCATTGTTTTTGTCCCCTAGACCTCACTGAGAATATACTTAGCCAAACCTTTATTCTATCATTTCCTCCTATAGTTGTGTGAGAAATAGGTATTAATGAAACATTAAACTCAAGGAATAGTAACACTTAGCAAAGCAAAAGACTATTCACAATGAAACACTTGAGTGTCTCATGCAGCATAGGTCGTTGTAGGAAGAAAATGTATATTCTGTAGCTGAGCATGTCTGTAAGGTGAGATCTATATGCAGGGACACGGTGGAGATTCGAGATGAGCCTAGAGAAGTATGACCGCTTGACCTGGAATCAGCATCATTATTATTTTGTTTGTTTGGTTTTTTTTTTTTGAGACAGAGTTTCTCTGTATAGCCCTGGCTGTCCTGGAACTCCATGTCGATCAGGCTGGCCTCAAACTCAGCAATCCGCCTGCCTCTGTCTCCCGAGTGCTGGGATGAGAAGTGTGTACCACCACTGCCTGGCTGTTATTATTATCTTGATTACAGTTTTGGTGCTGGGAATCTTATCCCACCGCCTTGACCTGGTCAAAGTGTCTTGATAGGCAGAGCAGGAACCAGGTGTGTGACAGAGGAGGGTAGAACACCACAGGGAAGCGAACTGTGAAGAAGGTTAGGAACTTACCTCTCTGCCTTTGATGCCTGACAGGTGCACTTCTTGAAGGAGGGCTGTGGAGACGACAATGTCTGTAATAGCAACCTTAAGCTGGAGTACAAATTCTGTACCCGAGAAGGCAGTCAAGACAAATTCTCTTACCTCCCCATGTAAGGATCGCGAGAAGTCACTCTGACCTCCGAGTAGTTGGCTAGAAAGGGAATTGCACGTGTGTTAAGATTCTCTTTTTCTTTCTTTCTTTTTCTAATAGTCAAAAAGGCATCCCGGAATTAGTTCTAAAAGATCAGAAGGATATAGCTCTGGAAATAACAGTGACCAACAGCCCTTCTGATCCAAGGAATCCTAGAAAAGATGGTGACGATGCTCACGAGGCCAAACTCGTCGCGACGTTCCCTGACACGCTCACATACTCGGCGTACAGAGAACTGAGGGCTTTTCCTGTAAGTGTTTCTGGAGAACCCAGCAGGGAGGGAAAAAACAGGACCACACAGCACAGGAACAAACCGTGATCCCATGCCTTTTCTGCCCCAGGAGAAGCAACTGAGCTGTGTCGCCAACCAGAACGGCTCCCAAGCTGACTGTGAGCTCGGGAACCCTTTCAAGAGAAATTCCAGTGTAGGTGATGCCCCCACACTCTCTGTCATACTGTGCTAAATACCGGTACTGTGCCCAGAGGCCTGGCCCTTGGTGACACCTGTTTATGTGTACCTTTTAGGTTACTTTTTACCTGATTTTAAGTACAACCGAGGTCACCTTTGACACCACAGATCTGGATATTAATCTGAAGTTGGAAACGTAAGAGTTACTTCAACCTTCCCATTTATACTTAATTTTGTGAGAACCCTGGAGTCACTGAATTTAGCACTGATCCAACTCATAAAAGAGAATGTAATTGTAATGAGAAAACTGACTGTTTAAATAAAACCCCATTGTTTCCCCTTTCATTTTCAGAACAAGCAATCAAGATAATTTGGCTCCAATTACAGCGAAAGCAAAAGTGGTTATTGAACTGCTTTTATCGGTCTCCGGGTAAGTGTTGTATTTGGCATAACAAATCAATGTTTGAAAGAACCATTTATAATTCGCACTAAAACGGGTGTTTTTTTAATTTGACAGAGTCGCTAAACCTTCGCAGGTGTATTTTGGAGGTACAGTTGTCGGTGAGCAGGCTATGAAATCTGAGGATGAAGTAGGAAGCTTAATAGAGTATGAATTCAGGGTGAGTCGGAGCCATCGGCCCGAGATGCAGTCTTGGTATGTCGTTTTCATCCGTGATCAGTCACGAGCATCGTAAGGAAATGCTCTGTTGTACGTGATTGCCGGTTTTTAACAGCGAAAACTGAAAACTTTATCTCCCAAGTAGAGAGCAACTGCCACTCAGCAGAGACTTGGTTCAGAATCGAGATCTTTTTACCCTTATTGTGGAACTGCAGTGTGCATGTAGTATAGACACAAAGTAGTACTTTTTCCCTCAGAGTCTAGAAAACAGACTTTTGCATAATCCGTAGTCGACCTTATAGAGTGTGTAGTTTGTTTCCCCTCCATTAGGAAGTCATTTTCCCAATGCCCTCGCCAGGCTGAAAGACCTTTCCCATTATTCCCTCCCACAAGCCCAGTTTGGGGATGGTGACAGTAGACTTGGTATATGCCAGCAAAGAGGGCCGGCGAGGGGCTCGCCGTAGGCAACCACAGTGACTCTGGGTGCAGTTTAACAGACTTGAACATGGACTGTGACATCGTCTATGGTGCATATGGATTTGGGTCTCCATAGTGCAAGCTGAAGTCCTGAAATTTAAGCATTGAGCCTAAAGCCTGAAAGGGCAAGAATGGGCTTGGCCTGAATCCAGCACACTAAAGAGGCAGGTTCTCTCCAGAAATGCTGGCTGGTCTGAGCTCTGTGCAGTCAGCTGGATGAGGTTCTGGAGCTGTGTGCTGTAATGCTCTCGGTCCTGTTGTACAAAGCCACTCTGCTCCCATTGCTTGCTCTGAGCTGTCGTGTGGTTCTCCGCAGTCTCCCTAAATACAGATGGCTGAGACTGCTTCATTTTCACAGTAGGGAGGTTTTCCAGAAGCAGGATATGGGTGCTACTTGCTAAAGCAGAGGCTTTGTCATCTGCCAGGCAGGACGCTCACTGAGTGGTTTGTCGATTTATCTGGGACTTTCCCCTGTGCTGTTGGGAACATGTCATACCTGTGCTGTGGGTTTTAGTACATACGGTAGTTACTCCTGGATTGAGCTAGCGATCCTTTCTTTTTGACCTTTACTTTTTTCTTCTATTTTTTTTTATGATAAGAATCTTTTAAGCCCAGCTATTTTGCACACCCTATTCCTGATCCGTTTTGGAGACTTACACTACTGTTGTAGGATTATGCTGGGTTATTTAGCCTATAGGCAGTAGGAAATGCTACTTAATTTTACCTTAAAAGGATTATATTGTAGCAAAATCTGCTGTTTCCTGACAGGTGATTAATTTAGGTAAGCCTCTTAAAAACCTTGGCACGGCGACTCTGAATATACAGTGGCCCAAGGAGATCAACAACGGCAAATGGTTGCTTTATCTGATGAAGGTCGAATCCAAAGGTTTGGAGCAGATCATTTGCGAGCCGCACGATGAAATAAACTTCCTGAAGCTGAAGGTGCGTAGATGGGTTTCTTGCTGCCTCCCGGGTGTGAGCTGCTGACCTTCGAGGGGTAAACTTGACTGTGCTAGGGAGGCCGCACTGACATGCTGACTTTTCATTTGGTTGTTATGGTTTTCTCTTCCATAACTGAGTAACTCAGTCTGGCTAAGGCATTTTTGCTGATGAATGACCTTTATGCCTCCCGAATGCTGCTGTTTCAGTATGTGCCACCATGTCTGTCTATACTATGCAATGCTAGGGCTCACATCCAGGACTTCATGCCTGCTAGGCAAGCCTTCCACCGATTCAGCTGCATCCCCAGCCCTGTTTTATTTTCAATTCCAAAGTACCTGAGTATCATGGTTGTTCACAATTGGAGGCTTCCAGAATGCTCTTTGACTCATCAACATTGAAAAGCATGATGACCTGTTATTCTTACTCTTAAAATAAGTCAACTATCCCTTTCCAACAATCCTAAATCCAAAATGCTCTAAAATCTTAAGCACATTTCTAATAAGGATATAGATGGCAATTGCACTTTGGTTTCCCGGGCACCCAGACCGGAATAATCACACAGAAACTATATTAATTACAGCATTGCTTGGCCAACGACTTAGGTGTATTCTTACTTAGCACTTATATCTTAAATTAACTTATTTCTATTAATCTATGTATCAGCATGAGGCTATGACCTACCAGTAAGGTTCCAGCGTCTGTCTCCTTCCTCAGCTACATGGTGTCTCTTTGACTCCGCCTTCTTTCTCTCTCTCTTTCTCTGTTCTGATTTCCCGCCTGACTTTACTCTGCTAAGCCATTGGCCCAAACAGCTTTATTCATCAACCAATAAAGGGAACACTTATATAGAAGGCCATCCCACATCATCTCCCCTTTTCTGTCTAATTAGAAAGCACAGTCTTTGTTTACAAAGGGAGACTCAACCTGTATAAGGAAGGCCTATGTTAAAAGTTTTTATCTGGCTTAGTCTTCAGTGCACCTCTCTGAGTTGATAATACAAAGGGTCTTACGCTTCCTTTTTGTCCTTCCTGTCCAATCATTCCTGTGTGCTGACTGTCTCCTGTGGGTTAGACACTGAGCTGGTGCTGGGGTCAGTCTCTGGTCTCGGTCGACTAACGGTTTGATGCTGTGTGTCCGTAGTTCAGCACTGACACAGGAACACAGGAGGTAGCTTTTTCTTTCCCTAAGTTTCAGCACCACACTAGAAATAAACTACTTAAATAAGCAGACTCTTGAGTCCATCGGTGAACCTAAAATGGCCATAGCATTGCTGGTTTTTAGATTTCTCTGCTTTTGCGGCTGGGAAAGATGTGATGGTTGATTATAGCCATCATGGCAGAATTTGGAATCTCTGAGACACTACGCACACCTCGAGGGGTTCCTTAGCTACTGGCCATACCTGTGAAGGATTATTTTGATACATTTCTTGCGGTGGGAAGACCCCCACTAAAGGCAGGTGGCACCAGTCCCTGGGTTGGGGTCTATATAGGAAGGAGGAAGTGAGCCGAGCTGCACACCAGCCCTCGTGACTTTGTGTGCCCTGTGACCAGCTGCCTTCAGCTCCTTAACTTCCTCGCCATGATGGACTGTAAACCTGGAACTGAGAGCCAGAATAAGCCCTTTCTCCTGTAAGTTGCTGTGTCGGGATGTGCTATCACAGGGCAAGAAAAGAAGCTAAGACAGAAGTGGATATTAATTGACGGTGTAAATTTGGTTTTATTTGTGAGGCTTATGCAGCAAACGACAGACATTTGCCTAAATTGGGTCTGTTTTGGATGTCACTTTTAGGAGTCTCACAACTCAAGAAGGAAACGGGAGATTTCTGAAAAACAAATAGACGACAGCAGGAAGTTTTCTTTATTTTCTGAACGAAAATACCAGACCCTCGTGAGTATCTCTCTGGGTTGTGAGTGGGGTCTGTATAAACAAGAAACGGCTTCCCGGAACTGTGGGTTCTCACCCCACCCATCTCCTCTCCAGAACTGCAGCGTCAACGTGAGGTGCGTGAACATCCGGTGTCCGCTGCGCGGGCTGGACAGCAAGGCCTCCCTCGTGCTGCGCTCCAGGCTGTGGAACAGTACATTTCTAGAGGTCTGACTTTGCCCCCTGGAAGAATTGGCTACGCCAAGGATACCCACCACTTTCCTGACACATCTCTCGTCTTCCACAGGAATATTCCAAACTGAACTACTTGGACATTCTTGTGAGGGCTTCCATCGACGTGACAGCTGCTGCTCAGAATATCAAGCTGCCTCATGCGGGCACACAGGTGAGCTCTGGGTCCCTCAGAGTCAGAGCTGGCTTTGTTCGCTACACCGTGCCACAACCTGAGGTCACCTTCTTCCCTGTTGTTCCTTAAAGGACAGTTTAGGTCCTGCCACACGAAGCTCTATTTTAATTGAATTGTTGACGATAAAAAGTGACCCTGAGCCAGGCCTGGCTATGCTGGCCGTGGATGTGCTAGCTTCTCAGGAATCTGAAAGAAGGGGAGCAGTGGTTTAATCTGTCTGGATTTCAGAGTGAGTTTAAGGCCTGCCCGGGTAATCTAGTGAGGCCCTGCTCTGAAAAGAAAGGTTTAAAAGGCCTGCTATGTAGCTTGTGCCTCCTACTGCTGCACAGGCCCTAAATTCAATCCCAAGGTCAGCACACACACCAGGAAAAGGAAACCTAGATAGAGCCCTCCATTCGGCAGGGCAGTGGCCAGGATGAAAAGCCACACAGGAGGAGAATAGTATGCAGCCTGGTAGAAAATGAAGCCAGCCCACCCTTGACGCTGCGGCCATTCTCAGGATGCCTGTGCTGTGTGTGGCCGATGGCGGTTACTAAAAGAGATACTTCTCTATAAATCTGGAATGTTGATGTGAGCCAGGCACTTGGGAGGCTGAAGCAGGAGGATTGCTGCAAGTCTGAGGCTGAATGAGCTACACAGTAAGCCCCAGGTTAATATGGACCACAGTGAGACCCTATGTCAAAATCTCTGAATGAATGAATCCATCAATCTATCTGTCTAGAATTAAATTTTCTTCTTTTGTTTTTTCGAGACAGAATTTCTCTGTAACTTTGGAGCCTATTCTGGAACTAGCTCTTTTAGACGAGGGTAGCCTCGAACTCACAGAGACCCGCCTACCTCTGCCTCTCTAGTGCTGGGATTAAAGGCGTGCGCCACCACCGCCCAGTTTAGAATTGAATTTTTAAAAATAAATCCCTGGAACAAGCATTGCCCATGTAGCAGCCTTTCCAATGACAGAGAGGAACTGTCCTGTCTCCTTGGATACCTTCAGGAGGAAGGTTGTCTCTTCTTAACTGTTATGTGACCTGCCCGTGGATCTGAGACCAGATCTCAAGTTCTCTTCTTTCTCTGGATGGTGGTAGACCTGAGGGCCCAATAGCAAGTCTGACTGCTGGTCCCAGAGGGAACACCTTGTCTTGTGCATTTTATCTCGTTCAGACTCCCAATGGAGATGGAGTCTCCACCTGTTCCTCCTTTGCTCAATCCTTCGCAAACGGGTGAATGATTTCTAGCCTGATATGTGGAACCCATTTCTTTTGAAAGTGGAGGCATTTTCTTACCGCTAGCCTTCCGCTGCCTCCTATTTTCTGTGATTTCTCTGCGAGCTCGGACCCCATGCCAGCACTTTTCTTGGGTGTCTGAAGGTGCAGGGTTCCAGCCTGAAGACTGGAGCTTAATTTCGATGCCAGGCTGGCTACATTTTCTTCTTCATCTCATCCCCCTTTCTAGTCTGAAGATCATGTCTTTGGTAGTAGAAGCAAAATACATTGTACAATTCAGTCCTTTTTAAAAAGAAAAGAAAACAAAACAAAAAACTCTAACCCCTCTTTTAAAAAAAAATTAAAAAAACAAAGAAAAGAAAGTAAGAGTCACGCAGTGGTGGTACATGCCCTTAATCCCAGCATTTGGGAGGCAGAGGCAGGTGGATCTCGGTGAGTTTGAGGCCAGCCTGGGCTCCAGAGTGAGTTCCAGGACAAGGCACCAAAACTACACAAAGAAACCCTGTCTCGAAAAACAAACAAACAAACAACAAAAAAAAAAGCAGCTAAGAAAAATTTGTCTGTTTATTTATTGCCCAATTTCAAGAGAGTTTACTGTTTGCCACTCAATAAGACACTTTTAAATTTAGACTGCATCAAAACAAGTGAAAGCAGAAATCACACAATCGAGGTGAGATGACTGTATTTTGACATCAGTTCATTTAAATCTACGTGGCAAACCAGCACCTGTTAAAACACATGGGTTCCCCCACCCCCTGCCATGCTACAGTGCCAAGTTGAGTAAAGTTTTGTGTCAAGAATTTCAGATTAGTCCAGGAAAGAAGGGGATGTTATGTGTGTCCACATGTCCCATTTTAGTTCGAAGAATCAGGCAGGTAACTATCCAAGTTTCTTGCCTGCTGAATATAGAAATTGTAATGGGTAGAAGCATGTACCCCGTTCTTTGGGGCAGTGAGATTTCTCTTTCTGGGGGCTCCAAATGTGAGATATGTGTGCCTTTAGAAGTCAGCTCTTATGTGCGGAGCGCTCACCGGGTGGGTGGTGCCTTTGATCCTGAGTTTCATAGAAGGTGACGGCCCCTTTGCGGAGTGATTTTACCGCTGTTCAGTAAGAGTGGGCTTTCTAACACAGAGTAATTTGGGGCAGATGTTTTGGCCGTTGGCAAGCTGCTGTGGTCTCTGCTGGTCACAGGGGATACAACTGAATGTACCTGTCGAGCGGAAGCCCTTTCTGCCTCTGGCGCCTGATGAATGCGGTACCTATAGAAAGCCGCCACCTCCATGAAAATGCATGAAGCTTAATGACATCGAAAGGAAAAACTTGTCTCAGGGATTGTAAAGCTCCACGGACATTCTATTGAGTTGTTAGAAGTTTCGGAGGCAACTTTTTAAGTTTTGGAGTAAGCACTTGGAGGCGGCTGTTTGCGGTGATCACATGCTTACAGTTTAGGTTTCTCATTGCTGCAGCTTAAGCTCTGAGCTACACCTGAAGAAACCTAATCTGTCTGTACATATTCCTGTAGAGTATGGTGACGAGTCATTTCAGGAAATCGTATTGTTTTGAGGGTCTTTAGTCTGATAACCTAAGAAAAAAAAATGAATGGCACCTCTCTGGGATGTAGCTCATCCCTACTTCACAGCGTCTTTGGACTCCGAGGCTTGTAGAATAATTGTACCTTGTGGAAAATTAACTCAAAGATAGTGTGATCGTTTTCAAAAGGACCTAGGTTGAAGGCTGGAAGTAGAACGTAGAGGTACAATGTTTACTACACACGCACAAAGCTTGAGCCCAGCACAGCAAGATTAAAAAACAAACAAAACAAAACAAATCAAAACAAATCAAATCGTGTAATTGTGGTGAAACATATTTATCTGCTGTTGCTGTTCAGGCTGACAAGGGAAGGGTGGATACTTGGTGATTCATTGTTTAGTTTTCTCCGATTTTCTTTAAAAGCAAAACAAAACAGAAAAGCATAGTTTAAGAGTTCAATTAGCAACAAAGTACAACCTAGACCTTCCCAGTTTCCAGATAAAGATCTGCAGGAAAAGCCCATTGAAGCAGTGTTCTGTTGAGAAAAAGGGTCTCTCAGCAGAAAGTGGCTTGTTCATCCATACGCTTTTTCATTCAGAATGTGTTCAGAAACCAAACTGAGCAGAACTGAAGCCATCCTCACCGGCTGACAGCTGGCACCTGGTTTATCGTGGTCTCTCTCTTGTGCCCTGTAGGTTCGCGTGACGGTGTTTCCCTCCAAGACTGTAGCTCAGTATTCGGGGATAGCTTGGTGGATCATCCTCCTGGCTGTCCTTGCTGGGATTCTGATGCTGGCTCTGTTAGTGTTTTTACTGTGGAAGGTAAGTCACGTCTGTCGCTGGAGTTTTCTCATATAAACTTTACTTCATGTTTTTAAAAAAATGAGGATGGACACTAACACATTTGCATTTCCTTTTTTCATTGTTCCTCCCCCCCCGCCCAGTAGTGTATCATGAAACTTCTCCAGTATACACCAAGTCTGAGAGAATTTTACAGGGAATATCTGTTTATCTACCTAATAATTTATATTTAGAGATTCTTTATTGACATGTAAGAAGTGTCTTAAAAAGTAATTTTGAGGTCTTGTCCATAATTCAGCGTGTTTGGTAAATAACAAATCTGAAGTTTACTACTTTGCTTAGCATTTTCTGTACCTAAGCTCGACCCCTAAATCTAAGCCAAATAGACAGATTGCAGTTTAATCTGAATGTAAGTTCCTGCTAATTCCCCCTTCTGTACAGAAGTCTTCATGATAACCACTGGAAATCATTGTCCTTCTAGCTAGGCTGGGAGCAGAACAGGACATGATGAATACTCCATCTCAAGGGTCTTCGGCCTGTAGCAAGCGTGATGAACATCCGGGTTCAGTATAATGGTCCCATTAGACTTTGGTCTTCTGTCTGTGCACAGTGTGTGATACCTTGGCCCTGCCTCCTACCTGTAGAGAGGCCATGTCATCAAAAGACCATGTGGTAGATGGTTCCGAACATTTGTCAGCAGAGGACAACCTCTGTAAGTCCTAGGTGAGGCCCAGGGAGTAATGGAGTCCCGCAGTCTTTATCTGTAATCCAGACTGCAGAAATCTCTGGGAACTGAAAGTTTGACTGACTTGGCAGAACTGTGCCGTGGAGAGAGGATATTTACAGTCTCACTCTTTTAGCTCATGGGTTTCACTGCAGAAATACTAGCATTCCTACCACAGTGCCAAGTATGTCACTTGGTGAACATAAGGCTTGGGTGAAGTAAGTCAGAATGTGCTAGGCTCAAACCACCCTTCTGCTCCCATCGTGTTCTGGAGTAAACAGATGAAGGGTTCTGACTTTGCGATTTGAGTGTACCCTCCTCCGTTCTTCCGAACCACTTCCTTTTGCCAGGCTGAGGACTGGGGTGGAGACGCGGTATCTATCTGTACCAGTGGTGTCCCGACATACAGATTTTAGTCAGCTTTCCTCAGGTGTATCACAAGCAGTAGGTTTATCTGGCAAATACAGCCAGTTGATATTAAAGCTCTTGCCACAGTTATCTGACAGGAAAAAAAAATTAATTTTGGGTTTTGAGACCTGAGGATGAGCTTACATTCTCTGGAAGAGTTCCCAAGGTCAGTCTTTTCCAGAGCGGATCTTATAGGCAATCCTGAATCCTTGTGTAGCCATGGCGGAGGCAGCGTTAAGATACCTGAGCTGTGTATATCGTTGAGCAAATCATATGAGCTCCCTGGAGCTCAGCTGTCAATAATAGGATCCGATTAAATTATTATTGGGTTCCTTGACAGTCTTCACTTTCATAGTCTGAGGTGGATTCTAAGCAGACTCTCAAACTCCATGTGGAAGTCAGCTTTATTACTTCATATTCTTCTTTATAAATGAAATTATTGGTATTTTAAAATCTTGGGATTTTAGGATCAGAAAGGAGTTTAGGGTCCTCAAACCGCTTTCTAGTATGGATGAGGCTCTGGGTTCGGTCTCCAGCACTGTGGAAGGAGGGAAAGATGGAATCTAGCTCAGCGGTCTTTAAATTGAGCTTTGTCCATCTACAGCCGTGTCAAAGCTGCAGCGGAGAGCTCCCCTCTAAGCAGAGGAACCCTGCCTTTATCTGTTTTTTAAACGCTGGCTTTTACACAGGGGTTCTTCTGGAGTTAAAGAAAAGGTCCTCAGACTCTCATTTAAGACTATTTGTTTTTGGTGAACTTTTCTTCCTGCCCTGTTTACTAGTTCTCATGACTGCAGCCTGGCTGTGCGCACGTACTGCGTGTCACCCTGATAGCCACCGTGTTTATGAAGTAGGCTGTTTCAGTGCAAACCTGGTAGAGGGCTGTGTAATATGGAAATATTCTGGAGTGGCACTGTCTCACGATAGGCAGGAGTCACCTGTGGCCCGCACAGTGGAAGAGTTGCGTTTTCAATTGAAATTTGTCTAAACTTGAATAACCACGTGTAGCCGGTGGCTCCCAACCTTGTGGTGGGGGGACCTAAATCTTCTTCCTTCATGAGTTGCCAGACTCGGAGGCACAATTTTGCCAGGAGATTTATTTGACCCAGTTTTGCTTCAAAAGATAGTTCCCACAGCCCATGAACTAGATGAAGGAAAATAGGGACAGTCCACCATTGATGAATGAAGGAAGCAATAGCAGAGAGAGGGATTACACATTTATACCCACTTAGAGTGACCTGAGCTCAGGAGCACGGCTTCCTGCCATTTAGGGGTTGCATGGTGGTTCAGAATTCAGCGGAAATGCCAGCAAGTACCCCTTCATTTGAATTTATTCTGTAATTCATGTTACCAGTTGGTCGGAAGTCTCCAGGAGAGAATATTCTTCCTTACAACTTAGAGCAACAGCAGATAGATACACTATATCTGCGTTTTATTTTGACTCGGGCTGAATTTTGCAGGGTTTATATTTCCATACCTTGTCTCAATAGCCTGCAGAAGTGAATGCTTGGGCTTTTTCGAGTCTGTTCTGCAAGGAAAAAAAAAATTCACCCGAGTTCCAGTCAAATGTGCATGCATTTTCCTTTTAGGATGACCTCAAGACTTCCGCTACAAATAGAAAAGTCAGTCAGCCTGCGTGTGTCATGTTTGTGTAGAGATGCCGAGTGATAGACTATTAAATGCTGGCTCAAAGTGGCCAGTGCAGCAGCTGCTCACTTGGGTTAAAACCTAAGGTGTTCTCTTCTTTAGCTTCTAAACAAACACAGAACTGTACAATTGACTGAATACCTTGCTTCCTTGTAGTGTGGTTTCTTCAAGAGAAATAAGAAAGATCATTACGATGCCACCTATCACAAGGCTGAGATCCATACTCAGCCGTCTGATAAAGAGAGGCTCACTTCCGATGCATAGTATTGATCTACTTCCATAATTGGTAATTGATCGGTGTTTTTCCTCGCTAGCTGTGGGACCTGCTGTGGTTGTGGTAGCTAACTTAAGAGCGACAGCTTGCTGTGTGTGTCCCATTAACAGATGTTTAGAAATGTCCACACTGGCTTGCCTTGCTTGGATTTATTTATTTTGTCGTTTTACTTGAACGCTCGGTTGTCTATTAATGCACAGAGAATCTTTCCTGCAGGTGAGTTGTTTTGTGCTCTTGTTAAGCAACGCCCACAGCCATGAAAACAAGCACACTGTTTGTCTAACTAGGTGTGAGGGCTCCGTAGCAGCCCAGTCTGCCATGTGTTGTTACATTGTATCCCACTGGGAATTTCAAAGGTGCATGAGAAATCAGTCCAGATTTCTTGTTCATTTTGGAATTCCCCGGGGATAGACGCTTTGTGGACTGCCTGCGTAACCTGTTGCATGTGGGAGAGAGAGCTTGGGCTTCTCCTGTGCAGAGGCTTCCTTCTCCCTGTCATCTTGTTGTTGTCCTTGCTCTAGAGTGATGGAGCAGGCTTGGGGTTGCTTCCTACTGCTGCTTGAACATAATTTATGCTAGCTGAGCATGCAACTTCCCCTTCTCCCTTGTATTTCTTCTGGGCCAAAGACCATTACAACCACGAATGATTGGCAGCACAACGGGCTTCTTGTGTGCTCCAGGAGATGGTTCTCTGCCCAAATCACCCTCGGTGTGAAAAAAAAAAAAAAAAGTCCCAAAGTATTGTGGGTAGTACAGTGTGTTGTAATGGAGTTTGACCATGTTTCACATCCTAGAGACTTTATTCCGCCTTGGTTCTCAGTTGATTTTGAGTTCATGTTTCCCCCTACAATTTGTAAATCCATGGAAACAGGAATCAGTAGTTGGTGGTTCCTTCTTCTCTGTGGGCCAGAGGGTTACAGTGACTGCTGCAGCTCCTTTCCGTGGCATTGACACAGTGATCCCAACATGGCCATTTTGACTTTACGTTTCAGACTTCATTGCCTTCTGTTTCTAGATGGGGCAGTCGGCAGTCATATTTTATAATTAGCATATTGGCTTTTCTGTGCAGCATTACAAAGGAGTCCGTATAGAAATGGCCTACACAAAACTTCTTGGCCCATTTGGCCTGTTGATTTGTGATTTTTGTCTTGCCTCATGGTATCGTTGTAACACAACATTCTTCAGTATAATCGCTCCATTCCTGTTGCTGTCACAAAGTAAGGTCATTAACCAACCATTCTAGGTAGATCCTTCTTCTAAGCTGCATTTTTAAATTTGAAAAGACTCCTTTTTAAAAGATAAGAAAGAAAGAAAAGTCTGTTTCTTATAAATATTTTTTAATCTGGTTCAAAAATTTATGGTATATTTTTAAAAGAAAATTGAATTTTTTCTTTAAGTAAATAAGTGTTGATAATTTGACTTCTCCTCTTCTCCCCCCCACTTCTTTCTTCCCTTTTCTGTTTTCAAATGAAGAGGAGAAATTGGCGAGTACTCTAGAATTCAGTGTGGTGAAGCCACCCTTGAGTCCTGTGAGGTTCTTGACTGACTGACGGTATTACACAACATAGTTACTTTGTAACTTATTAACGAAGCAGTTACATTGGAAGCCCCACAGGGAGTCCAGCCGGTGCAGTGATGCAAAGCCCCAAGAGGAGAGAACAGTCTAAAAGGGACCCATAAGAACATGGCATGCCAAATAGTATTTGTAAAATGACTTGTGATCTGATTTACAGTTTATTAATGGGAAAGGAATAGAAAGTAATTCTTTAAGCCTTTAGAGAAATAATCTTAAGCTAAGTGTGGTATACACATGCCTGTCACCCAGAACTAGGGAGGATCAAGCAAGAGGATGTTGAGTTCGAGGCCATCCTTGGCTACATAGCAAGTTCCTGTTCCTTACACACACATATAAGTTGTTTTTATAATGGTCTAGTAATATGAAAATTATATCCTTTATTTATATAGTGTTTTTTTTTTACATAAAAGCACAGTTTTACAAAATGCTTAAATCGTCAGTCCAGAAATAGCTGAAGTTGTAGAATGTGAAGAAAATGAAATGGGCTTTTTTTCCAGTCCCACATCCGTTCCCCTTGTCCATCCCCGCTGGCTGTTTCTTTTCAACCAGTTGTTTCCTTAAAGAAAATAGTGTTTGTTCTCAGCATTCCAGAGGTAGACCTAGCTGAACTGAACGCTTAGATGTTCTGGTTTAGTGCATCTGGTCTTCAGATTAACTAATTTCCACCCTGTTCTTCTGTCCCCCTTCGCTTCTCCAGTGTGGATTCTTTAAGCGCTCTAGGTACGATGACAGCGTCCCCCGATACCATGCTGTTCGGATCCGGAAGGAAGAGCGGGAGATCAAAGACGAGAAACACAATGATAACCTCGAAAAGAAACAGTGGATCACAAAGTGGAGTGAAAATGAAAGTTACTCATAGAGACCCAGGAGAGCTCCGCACTACCCAGAGTCCCTTTTGTTCTTCCCAACTCAGAGATTCAGGTGGGCCCGAAGGCTGCTCAGCACCTGAAGTAGATTCCAAACTGACTCTGCAGTTTCCACTGGGGGATATTGTTACACCCGAGGCTCCTGTTTTGCACAGCCAAATTTAAGACTTTCAGAGTGGACTTTTCTTTAACTGCCTTAATTTAACTTTCCAGATTGCCTTTGTTTTTGGTGTTACTGACCGACATTACATGTGCTGGGGCAGGGCCTGCCCACCTGCACCCCTGGGACATTCTCTCCTGATAGCTCAGGAAGAAGACCCCCACCGTCACCCATGCGAATGGAGTGGCCATCCTCGCCTGCCCCGACAAGCATCCTTCTCATAAGATTGGAGAACCTGCAAGTGACTTGCCCCTTGGCTCAAGACTCTGCCGTTGGATAGCCGTGTCTCTGTTGAGAGTTCTGTCTTAAATGTGCAATAGGAGGTGATACTGCCATCCTGCCTTCTCTCTCCATTTCCTACAAGTGAGGGTCCTCGCCGATGCCAATGCACGCAGGTTCCCGTCTCCCTCGTGACTAAGCACAGGCGCGGCAGACTTGAACACTAGTTACACTTTTTTATATATATTTATTTTTTTTCTTCAAGCCGTCTTGCTATTGACTAATAGGCCAAAGATGCTTCAGGATGGTTTAAGCAATCAGAGTGAGACCCTAGGAGGTCATTTGTTCTGACCTTGAGTATTTACTGCAAAGAGAACATTCTTTATAAACATGCAAGGATTGTTTTTAATAACTTCAACTTCTTCTGTAAATGTTACCATCTCCTTACTGGCAGGCTCTCCCTCAACCCAGAGAGTTTAACAAAGGAGTAACTGGAAGATGCTTCATCCTTGCCCGGCCTTGGTGTTCCATGGTGTTGAGCCCTGTGTGGAATTTCTGAACTCCGTGCTGTAACTTTCAGAACTCTGAGAGGAAGTGAGTTTGCTCATTGAACTCTAGGGTCTGTGTGTTCGCTCACTGCTGTCAGCACTGTATATTCAGGACTTGACGTGAGTACACGTGTGGATCCAGACCAATCCAGTGTGAGACTACTGAAGAGCATCTGTCCCCAAAACAGCCGCACCAGACAGATGGAGAGCCGTGGCGCTCAGCTTCTCAAATATCATCAGAACCATTCAGTCAGCGAGTCCATGACCGATTTTTTTTTGTTTTAAATTGTTCACACCAATCTAAATTCCTCTAAATGACTTGTGACTACTTTAACAAGCCCTTTGGGCCTGGAGCAGGAGGTTTAGTTCATTGCTAAAGTGCTTGCTAACATGCCCAGGGTTTTTGTTTGTTAAAATCATAGGAGGGGAAAACCAGTTATTTTTCTATATATTCAACAGAGATTGAATATATTATCAAAGCTGAATTTTTAATTGTACTTTAAAATAATTAAGTTATATGAAGCAGCAGCAAAGAGGTGCTAATTTGTTTGGAGATTGTAAAAAGCAGTTCTCTGTCTTTTTTTTAAGACTGGGTCTCAAGTAACCCAGGCTGGCCTTGAACTCCTTAGGTAGCTGGGGATAGTCTTGAACTGCTGACCCTCCTGCCTCCCGCCCGACCCCCACCCCTCAAGGGTGGGACTACAGCTGTTTGCCACCACACTTGGTTTTATGCGCTTGGGACTGAACCTGGGGCTCTGTGCATGCTAGGCCAGCAGTCTGCCAACTGAGCTACATCCCAGCCATTTCTCAGTCTTTTAAAAGAACAAAGCATTGCTAAATGTGCCGTTGTTGCTTTTGAGTTTTAAGCCTTTTTTTTTTCTTTCTTTCATAAAACATTATACCCTTAAGATATTAAAAATTCTTATTCTGGTTCTACTTTGGCATTTTCACTCATAATAATTTTATAAATGATACCTTGTTTACAAATGTTCTCTACCACGGGTCCTAATAGCATTTAAAGTCTCAGTTTCTTGCTTGGGTAACTTGAAGCCAAACATACTGGCTTTGAAGGGCACGACGAAGAAGCTGATATCTTAATAGTGTTTGTAGACCTCTGTTCTAGAAATGAATGTCCAGAAGAGAGTGGGGAGGGAGCTTGACAACGGAGAAACAAGAATGTCATGTTGTTTAAATTTATAGTTGTTAAAAAAAAAAATGTCATCTCAAGTCAAGTCACTGGGCTGTTAGCATTTGGTAGGTTTTTAGACTAACTAGCATTAGAAGATTATTTCATAATTGGAAAATACCTGTGGATATTTGTATAAAAGTGTGAAATAAATTTTTTATGAAAGTGCTCATGCTTATTAACCCAGCCTTGTGTATGTGAAGCAAACTCTAAATTATAATTGACCACCTGACTTGCCTTTCTTTGTATTTCGTCAAAGCCAAAGTAAAAGTTTGCACTATTTTTTAGTGTCCCATATAATTTCAGAACAGCCAAAGGTACCTGACGTGGTACAATACAAATGAGATTGAAGGATTTTAAGTATATCTGTTTTAAAGTGTGTGTGTGTTTGTGTGTGTGTGCGCGCGCGCTCGCGTGTGCACAGGTGCCACAGAGCACATGCTGAGGCCAGAGGACAAATATTGGGAGTTGTGGTTCTCTATCCACCTTGCGCTACCCACACATTAAGCCTGGGTCTGTGGGCTTGGTGGCCACTGCTTGCCGAGCCATCTTACTGGCCCCTGAGTTGTTGGGGGATGCTTGGTTGCTGTTTTTAATCTTCTTTTGAATCCCTTATCTAGCTGACGGCATGGCTTTCTTTCCAAGTCAGAAAATAGTCTTCTGGGTGGTTTATTCAAACCAGGAGCTTCTCGTTGACACTCTACTTCAAGGGCACAAGCCTGGTAGAGTGTTATTTTGCAGTGACGCTATGGCTTAGAAAGGAAGATTCCTACAGCCGAGTTGCTTCCTCCTTAGAATCAAAGGTGAACGTGAGAGTCGTCCAGCCACGGCGTGACATTCAGTCAGCCTCTAGGGCTGGTTTCACAGAATCCCCCAGCCAGAAATACTTTCTTCAGCAAGACATTTTGTCTAGATTTAGACAGTCTTCTAAAACTTCTCTAGGTTATCACAGTCAATACAGAAATAAAGTGCAGGGGCTGGACAGATGGCTCAGTGGTTAAGAGCACTGATTGCTCTTCCAGAGGTCCTGAGTTCAATTCCCAGCAACCACATGGCGGCTCACAGCTGTCTGTAATGAGACCTGGCACCCCCTTCTGGCCTGCGGGCACACATGGAAGGAATGCTAAACAAAAAAAAAAAACTTTAAAAAAAAAAAAAAAAAAAAAAAAAAAAAGGAAGAAGAGGGGCTGGAGAGATGGCTCAGAGGTTAAGAGCATTGCCTGCTCTTCCAAAGGTCCTGAGTTCAATTCCCAGCAACCACATGGTGGCTCACAACCATCTGTAATGGGGTCTGGTGCCCTCTTCTGGCCTTCAGGCATATACACAGACAGAATATTGTATACATAATAAATAAATAAATAAATAAATATAAAAAAAAGGAAGAAGAAAAAATAAAGTGCATGTCTAGTGTCTTGACAATGGAACATACCCTGACCTGAATACATTTCATGTAATGTATATTGTTTGCCTGCTAGGTTGACTGGCTTTTCATCACAATTGTAATATATTAAGTCTTACCTTTCTTGGTTCTTTGAAAACAGACAGGTGCTACTGCCCAACGAACTATATAATGGGTACTTTGGATGAGTGATGCCGTCCCTGTCTGTTGCCCCGAGTCACATATCTGTTCTATGGACATGCTGTACTAAACTCCCACAGCAACAGGCAATCCTCCTAGCCTTTGAGTCTACCATGAGCGGTGGTTTTACCAGAGCTGTGATACAGGACACATGGAGTAGAGGTCCTGATGATGGAAGTCACACAGGCATGCCCGTGAACAGTGATGGTGCTGCAGGATTCTTTGCCACAGAGAAATTCATAAAGGAATTAGGGCAAGCGGGCCCCTGTATTCTGACACTGACATTTGCAGATTGCTTGCCCAAATGTCATGGGTCACACACGGCCGTGGTTTGCACTGTGCCCTTGTGTCTATGAATGAATATGCCAGGATGTGGAGAGGATCTAAGTGGCAGATGCTTTCCACTCTCTCCAGACCAAAGAAGCAGGGCTGAGATCGAGCTTTTAAAGGACATTGTCTTAGTGAGACACCCACCAGGGACCATGTGAGGACAGTGGGGTGTGGGGAAGGTACTGGGTTTGAAATGAGGAAGAGAGACATGCTGGAGGGGGTGGCCTCAGGACCAATGATCTAAAGCAGTTCCTGAGGACCAAAAAAGAGAGGGGCTGCTGGGGAAGAAGAGCTGGGAGGCCAGACTCCTGGGTGCCTTCAGAAGCGGCTCTGCCAAGCCAGGAGGAGTCTGCTCTTCCCTCTGGTCCCGATTATGGCCAGGGACAAAGAGCCTGCTTCTGCCCGAATGTAGGTGTGCTCCTTTTACTAATTTAATTTTTTTAAAATATTTATTTATTTATTAAGTATACAATAGTCTGTCTGTGTGTATGCCTGAAGGCCAGAAGAGGGCACCAGATCTCATTACAGATGGCTATGAGCCACCATGTGGTTGCTGGGAATTGAACTCAGGACCTTTGGAAGAACAGCCAGTGCTCTTAACCTCTGAGCCATCTCTCCAGCTCCACTAATTTAATTTTTTATATTTACTTATTTGTATGTGTGTGTGTGTAAAGGGACGTGTGTGTCACAGCCCAGGCATGGAGGTCAGAACAATTCAGGAGTTGGTTCTTTCCACCATGTGCGACCTGGAAATAGCACTCCAGTCATCGGGCTTGGGAGGTCAGGCACCTTTACTCCCGTGCCATCTGGCTGGCCTTCGTGTGTGTGTGTGTGTGTGTGTGTGTGTGTGTGTGTGTGTGTGTGTGGTGTGTGTAGTTGTGGTTGGTATTAGCTGGGAACTAATCCCCATTTCATCTACAAGTGGCTCCCTTTTTTAAAAAAAAAAAGTTTATTTGTAGGGAGCAGTCTTGATTAGGATCTGAAGCCAGCTCTGTAGAGGTGTTGGCAGCTGACCTGTCTAGAAGGAAATTCGTAAGCAGATGCATGGCTAAGTACTCTGAACGTAAGCTGTTACACACAAAGCTCAGACCAAGAAAGTTGGTTCCAGCCCAGCGCCTCTGTGGGCCAGGCGCCCAAAGAGCAAAACTAGCCAGGTAATGGGTGGTGATTACTGAGGAGTCAAGTGCAATCTGGTAACTGCACAAAGCCCAGGTGCCTCGACCTTACTGCCCTGGCCTGATGCATCCTAGTCACACGGCCTCTGCCAGGGCGTGGAAACAGACCAGGCGAGGGGAGGGCAGACACCATTTCCCACTCTGTCCTTCTAGAACGTTGGCCCCAAATCCTCAAGCTTAGGGTCAGAATGTACTGCTTTCGTTCTCGGAGCCTAGCTGGTAGTGTTCAATTCACCAATACCCAGTAGTCACCTGTTGTTCTGTTAAGGTCCATTGTCAGCTGAAAGTTAAAAAAAAAAAATGCCGAGGGATGGATGTTAAATTATGTTCCGGGTTATAAAGGAAAATAAGATACTGGTCTGATCTTTCTAAAGGACCATTTTTGCTTTATATCTTTTTGGTTTTATTATGCCGCCCCACTACACACACACACACACACACACACACACACACACACACACACACTTTTCTGATGGGATCTTACCATCTAGCCTAGTCTGGCTTCAAATTCCTAAACTTAAGGCTTTTCTCTGACACTTTATAAGAAATAAAAGCGCAAACATGTAGTATTAGCCAGATATGGTAGCTCACCCTTAGTCCCAAGACTCAGAAGAGACAGGTGGATCTCTTGAGTTCCAGGCCAGCCTGGACTATTACATAGGAAGTTTCGAACCAGCCAGGGCCACATAGTAAGACCCTGTCTCAAAAAAAACAACAAAAAGACAGTATTGATAAGTGTAAGGGAACTGTTTTGCTTGGTTTTTGAGACAGCCTCATGAAGCCATGTTGACACTGTGGCATTGAATTTATTAGGTAGCCAAAGATGACATGAATTTGTGATCATCCCGACTCCACCTCCCAGTGCTAGGATTATAGGCATGTGCCTACACACTCAGTTTTCTCCAGTGTGGGGTCTCCATGTGTGTTATGCAAGCAGTCTATCAAATGTGCTTCAGTATCAGCCCTAGACTAACCTTATATTTAGCAGAATAAAAACTGACAGCTGAATTGTACAAGAGCGATGCCTGAGCCTTAGGTCAAACTTAATCTTGCCCTGGGAGTTATCCCGTTCCAATAAACTCTCTAAGTTCAGCAAGGGTGGAAATGTCCTTAAAGATCACCAAGCGGCCTGTATACCCGTGCTTGCCCATGAAATGAAATTGCCTCTTGTTTGTGGCACTTTCTGTACCTGGATGAGCAGCCGAAGGTGCCATCCTCAGTGCAGACAGTAGGTGGCGCCCGAGAGCAGAAATCCAAGGTGAGTCAACTTCACCTATTCTATTATGACCCTGGGGGTGGGGCTGTAGTCATAGATCTGGGCTCTAGTTCCTTCAGCTATAAAAATTGGTAAGAGAATTCCTTTCAGAGATCCTTAGAGGGAGGAAATGTGACCATTTGGAAGTGTTTGTTGCCTAATTTTTGCTTACACTTTTTATTGTGCAGAATTAAAATGTTAAGTGGGAAGGAAGCAAGGAAATGTGCGTGTACATCATTTTTTTTAAGAAAACACTGCTAATTTTTATTATTAGAACGTTTGTCTTCTCATTATCAACCCATGATTTACTACTGAGTGTAGTAGCTACAACCAACAAACCCAAGTGCACCTCACTAACTAAAAATCACACATGAGCCAGTGTGGTAGTCTGTGCCTAAATCCCAGCTACCCAACAGGTCTAGGCAAAAAGAACCATTGAATCTAGGAGTTCAAGGTCATCCTGAGCAGTATAAGGAAAACATATCTTAAAAACTGTAACTGTGAGCCTAACTCTTTTATATACTCATAAACGTAAGTCAGTTTGAAATCAACATTGATCTTGTTTCTTTCAAAAATACAGTGTCAAACTGTCCCAGACACTGAGATAATAGTCATTACGTGGGTCTGGGCTAGGGTGTGGATATTCATCAAAGCCAGTGTGCCAGGATAACCAAGCAGGCATGTTGAATTTCCATGGCTGGTTTATTCCTGCTTGCTTTTTTTTCTGAAATAGATTATGTATAAGATATGTTTTTTGCATGCTTACTGAGTATTTTTTTTTAAATAGTTCTTCTTTTATGGGCTAGAGAGATGGCTCAGTGGTTAAGAA